AATCTCTTTCACACACATTAGACATTCATTGAATGCGTGTCGGACTACAAAGATTGCTCAGTAAGTTCCTTTTTTAAACAACTCAATAATACCACCATTCAAAATATTAATAATAATTTCACTTATATTACTTTTATCACATTGTAACAAAGTGATGTGTGTGTGTGTGTGTGTGTGTGTGTGTGTGTGTGTGTGGTGTGTGTGTGTGTGGTGTGTGTGTGTGTGTGTGTGTGTGTGTGTGTGTGTGTGTGTGTGTGTGTGTGTGTGTGTGTGTGTGTGTGTGTGTGTGTGTGTGTGTGTGTGTGTGTGTGTGTGTGTGTGTATAACCAAATATACAAATTCCCAAGCCTTTACAAGGGAATATTAAAGAGAGATCCTAATGAAGTTTTTTTGTGAGCCACTTGGTTCAAAGATAATATCCGGTTCTAGCTCCCCGAATTGGACGATATCCAGATATCTTTTGTTTTATAGTAACATACAAATAAACACACTTTTCTGTGAGTTATTTTCTAAGCTCATAACTGAGCTTCTACAAAACCCAGAGCCCCGAACATCACTTAGTGCTCTTGTGATGTCTGTCATTTTATTGGCACTTTAATTATAACCTTTAAAACATCCAAATGAACGGGCCGCAGATGGCCTAGCGGTTAGGTTGTGCCCCATGTAAGGAGGCTGTAGTCCTTCAAGTGGGAAACCCGGGTTCAGGTCCGGCATGGGTCTTCCCCACTCTGTCTCTGATTTCATCCTCTATCCACTTTGTCCTTTCAAATGAAGGCTAAAAGCATAATAAATCTTGAAAAAAATAACAACATCCAAATAATATCAATCATCTTAATTCATAATAAAGATTGTTGTTAATTTAATACATTTATGTTTCCAAACTACAATGATGATTGTGGCTTTTTGCACATACAGTTCCTGTCTAATCGTGCCAAAATAAAGTTATCAAAAGTTTGATTTAAATAAGATTTTCTCATGTGGCTATAACTCTTCTACTTCTTGCAGCTGCTTCACAGTAACGCTATCAAAACACATAAAGATGATTTTAAACATGTTACTGAATGTGTAGACCAGGAAAATCTAATATTGGCTTACCTGAAATTGCTTTGAAACTGAGTTTAAGCTTATTGTTCTCTACCACATTCACGTGTATCCATAACGTGGCAACGACAGTGATTAGGTTGGAGGAAGTTCACTGTCAAAGTTGGGAAACTTTGTTGAAAAAAAAAATAGAAGCTATGCTAAACTATGATGAAATACTTCACTGGGTGAAGAAAGCGCTAAAGGGTCACAGTGTGAAACTGTTTTGTATTCATAAGGTTTTAAATGGTCCTCCTTACGTGAGCCTGTGCATTTGGGAGTCTGTGTGGAAGCTCAGTCTCGCCTGAGGCTACAGAATATGACTGCAAAAACACACACACACACACACACACACACACACACACACACACACACACACACACACACACACACACACACACACAAACACAGATAGAGTTTGATTTCAATACAGGTGCAGTTTTAAGCTAGTATTCCTGGTGTGTGCGTGTATGTGTGCTTGTGTGTCTAGAGAGGGGGGGGTTACAAAGTATTAGGATTACATTTTCCACTGATAAACAGACCTACAGGCCTGTCAGAACCACGGCGGACAGCAACTGAGCTCATTTGCCCTCGAGGGGTTTACAAGAGTGAGGTCATCCCTCCCTGGAGCTGGACCATTACCTGCAACCTCCGCTCATCCACGCAAACATACACACACAGAAACTAAACCAACATGCAGGGTTTGACAGCTTTGATGGGACACATGTTGAGTTTACACACTCTCAGATTGAATCATTGCTATCTTTCACTTGTTTCATTTAGGCCTAACAGTCATATCTATTCTGAACTCCTATGAAGTCATATCATCAGCTTGTGCACTTCGTTAAAGCCTCCAATGGCAGACACACTAATGAGCCTACATAATCAGTGCAAGTCTGCACAAGCGATAGCAGGGTCACATACAGAGGTTCAATGGCAGCATGTTTGAAGAAAGATCATAATAACTGCTGGTGCATTTGTGTGATGCCTGTCACAAGTTACCTGTGAGTATTGTCATTGTAGTTTTGCAAGCATCTGAGTCTTTTGACACCTGCAGTAGTTCCTCAATTTGGTCAAATTGATCTCTGGTGTATTCATTGTTCTGTTGATGTTGCTCTTTGTGTTTTTTTCTTTTTTTTAACTTTGGCCTTGAACAGGGTTTAAAGGCACTGTGATTGTTAAACCTGATAATTGATCCAAAAATATCAAAAAAGTGAAAAATGGCTCTCACATGTTTTGAGAGTTTAATGTTTTATCTTAAAATATACAACATATATATATATATATATTCAAAACAAACAGAGATTATGGAACAAATCATGATCATGCATACTAAACTGATCATTTGCATCACAACAGTCATGTTAATTTCTAATATTATCAGAATTGAAGGATTTGTTTTGAATATGGACCATCTCAGAACACATTTGGTCCTCAACCTCTTGCTATAGTATGTTTCTTGGCTTCTGGAAGGGCCAGTGGATATCAGGATAACTAGCTACAGATATCTGGGCCGGTCTGACTTTCAACTTTACATGCAAAAATGGAGTTGGATTATAGAAATGACATGATGTACAACTCAAATGTTATCACATTAATACATAAATATCTGTTTTAGATAGATGAACTAAAATCAACATCAATAAACTTCTTCACTTCTTTTGTTTTGCTAATTGGTCAATATCGATCAGACAATAAATGGAACCTAGATAAACAGTAGTGAAGGAGCAGGACGCATCACATTTCATATCTTAATGCTAGTTCCCCAGATAAGCAGTAGGTCAAGCACAAACAAACCTAGCAGTGAGATTTCTTTTGTAATCTTTTGTAGGAGTAACGATACATAACTTTTGTTTGTCGACAACAAAACGTCTCTTCCAACCTTTTAAAGATTGTCCAGTAAAATAGATGTGATGTGGTTTGGATCACAGCTAGTTTTGGGATAATGCAGCAGAAAACGATTTAAATGTCCAAAGTAAAACAAATGTATCCTTACAGTTACCCCCCCCCCCCCCAAGGAAAATAAATAAAGTTGCACTAATAACAGTCTTGCAGATTAACATGTAAAGTTATGTATGTGTGTTTCTGCTTGTGTGTGGAGTCCTTGAGTCGATAAAGAGATCAGACAAAGTAATGAAACCAAGCAGGAAACTACTCCAACAAGGCCTGCAGTAGAGCTTACTCAAAGTCGTTGGCTTCTGTCCAAACTTTAAATTTGACAGTTCTTGCGTGGGCGTGATGGGCACTGTGGGATATGAGGCTGTGGGGACAATAAGGAAGATGAATTAGCCACTAGCAGAGGTCTTCCTCCCCTACCAACCTGGATGCTCGAGGCTCTTTATCCACAGTCATCAATCTTTGTCAGCCAACATCCAGGAAGTCATTATGCAAGCTGGGATGCCATTGGGGCCATCAGGGAATCAAGTCTGCCTCCATTTTGGTCACCTCTGTTTTTAGCCATCCCCAATTCACTTTACGCTTTTTGTGACAGTGGGAACTCAGAAGTTCATTTCTTCTCTGTGATGAGAGGGGGGGGGGGGTTAAAAGCAGCTAGTAAGCCCCCGCAGGGCTGGGTTTAATGTGGGCACTGGGTAGCAGGTGGAAAGAGCCGCTGCCAGTTTCCCTTGCAGTGTGGGGAAATTGCCTGTACTGCTGTGAAACTGTGGAGCTCTGGATGGCAGCCATGTTTGGGCTGGAGGCATGCTGGTTTAAGCTTTTAATACCGCAATGCTCTTGACTAGATAGAAGAGTCCCCTGAAGCCGTCAAGCTCTTTCTGCTTTTTGGACAGTAAGTTATTCGATCAAAGACAGAATACAGTCTTAATTTAGAAATCTTTATTTTGTTTTGACTGGTTATGAAAAACGAATTATACTGATGCCTCTATATGACATACAAAAGAAACGGGACCAATGTGAAGAAGATGGACTTTTTTCATATAGATGCCACCGCCACCAAGTCAGTATTGTTGGGGCTTCCAAAATCAACGCATAAAGTTCCTCAAAGCTGTTTTTTTCTTAAGAGTGGTATCATTGCTTTTTGTTTTGTTGATCTTTGCAAATATGAATATTTTGGTATTTAAATTATTTTGTGGTTTTTTTTGTGAGTCCTTAATGACCTAATGTTCAAGCACTGTTGCAGGAGCTTGGGAATGAATGATATCATTGTTGTGTTAATGACAATAACCTTCTTTTACTTAAGCTCTGAAAGTACTTAACAGGCACTTTCACAGTCAGTGTTGTAAGCATTTAAAAAAAAAAAAAAGTTTGATTGAAGCGTCTAAACAGGTCTCCTCTGCTATTATGGTCCTCAATTGTGTTTGTCTATCCAGGGAAAGTTCTACCTGCTGATCGAGGAGCTGAGCCAGCTGTTCAGGGCCCTGGTACCTATCCAGCTGTGGTACAAGTACATCATGGGAGAAGACCCGTCCAACAGTTACTTCCTGGGAGCCACTCTAATCATTATCTACAGCCTTTGCAAGGTAACATGTGCCAGAGTATCAAAATAACAAGCAATCTGCAAATATAGTCTACAGTGTTTCCCCTACCATTATATTAGGGGGGAAACACTGGTCTAAATCCCCCTATAGCATATAAACCCTACAATATGAAACTGTTTGATAGAAGTGGCAACATCATGATGATGTTATTGATGATTGCTCTGAAGGAATTATGAGGCCTTTAAAGTTTGTTGTGATAGTGATGCTAGGCTGAAGCTCACTGGGTCATTCAGGTGAAAATAATATCTTATTTGGGACATGAATGTTTGCAAAAAGTTTCATAGCAATATTATTATTGAGAGATTATTCATTTACATCAGATATTTTACTGTTAACATTTTGGCTCCTTGTTTGCGCTAGAGTTAACTCCATGGGTTATTTAACATTAATTAGGGCCCATCCACTGGGGAGCAGGAGCCCATGCTGAAAATATTATAGCTGTAAGATTTGTTTAAGAATTTTAGCACCTGTAGCAGCATGTGTTTAAGGACCGGCAGTATCAGCTTCCTTCTGGTTGGCCTACCACTTCTGACAAGACCATAAATGTCTCAGAAACGATTGAAGGGGCAGCCATAGTGTTTTTTCTCAGCCATTTCTGGTCCCCAGACGATGATCCCATGACTTTTCCTGTAGTACAGCCATGAAACTAACATTTATTTTGTTGTTTCGAAATGACATGAGTAATTGTTGGATGAACTGCCATGAAATTTGGTACAAAACAAATCATGTTTCCCTCTGGATGAATCCTTAAAATCTTCGATGAGTCCCTGATTTGACTCCTGACTCCTCTAGATAACCTTAATCTAGCCAATATTGAGTTAATTTTACAGAACTAAAGTCCCTCCCATCAACCTCATCTGTTCCCTAATCGCACGGTACTAGGTGGTAGTTCTGGCATGTTTGCATATCAACATTAGCATTAGGTCAGACTCCTTTTAAAAGAAGGGTATAACTCTTTAGAATACCCATTGTTCATGGTAAACCAGCTAAGCAAAGTCTGGGCACTTTTTCTGCCACTTCAAGTAAAGCTGGTGGTATTCTACAGAAGTCAGACAGTTAGACTTTTGAACAGGAAGTTGTGGGTTGTTTAAAATAAATATGTGTAGAGACATGAGTCAGTTTTAAAGTAGTAGTTTAGTAACAACGTTAAGTGGGATGTTAAAATAGTGAAACTTGGCAGAAGTCTGAATGATGCAATGGTGAATTATGTACTCACTAGTGTTGCGTGTTACAAATATAGCCCAAGTTTCTTTTAAAACATCGGTGAGTAAGCGCATCTTACCATTGATAAAGGAACTGCTTTTAACTGGACAGTTTCCGGGGTGTGTGTGTGTGTACAGAGGTGCAGCACACTGGTGTTTTCCAAGATCAGCTCATATCAGCTGTGCGTCAATATTGAAATCAGCTGATGTGCCGGATGTGCATCAGTTGTCGATTCACGTCATGCTGCTGTGTCACAACACGGTTACAGTCTGGTGGTGGTGAGAGGAACATGCTTTCCTTTAAAGGAAATGATAACATTTGTGAATTCTACGAAATCAGGAATGTGGGACAAGTGGAAAGGATCAATCCCAGATGCTTTATTAGAAAACCATTAATGAGATCAGAGATGGTCCATTCATTAGCAATTTCTCTCTTCTATTGAGAATGTGCTATCCTGTTGCTGTTTTGGAGTTTTGAAAAACGCTATAAAGTTCTGCTTAATGATGTTGCATGTTGCATACTATTTTAATTCTACCGACTTTGTTAATTCCTTGACTTGACATTTAGTGTCCCTGTGGGTTGTGTGGTTTTAAGTCAATGTCTGCACACAGCTGTGGCATTGATGTGGTTCAGTTTATTAATGTCTTTTTTAAGAGCTTTTCATCCAGGTCATCATCAGGTCATCTGTTTTGATTCATGCTAACCCTAACCCTACTATGCTGGTCACACTGCTAAATGTGCTAAACATCAGTCTTTCATACTACCACATATAAAGAATATTTTAGAACTTAAAATGCTTTCAGAGTGGTACCACACCTGAAACTATATACTGTATTATATCACCTTAAATTCTGACCATTCCTAATGAAAGAATTGTTTTTGACTTGAAATAAAACATGAGATACTTGTGCCCTAATACATAAAATAAGAGTGCAGTAGGGACCCCCTTAATGCCCTGCAGATCCATCGCCTAACCCAGGGATTCCCTAAGTAACTACTCTTTTGTCTATATTTTATCAATAATGGGTACAAAAAAAAAATGCAATTTCAAATCATTTTCAAATCTTTATTTGTATTTGGATGACATCTAGCGACACCCCATGGGGTCCTCCTGACCCCCACGTTGGGAATCACCGACCTAACCTACCACATAGTCCCTTAGTGGCGATCACTACGCAAACAGTCTGGCCCCCTTCGATAGACCCAGCGCTCCGCTTATGTGAGCTGTATTTTACCTCATGGGCATAAATAGACACCACAACCCAAACAGCACTGCAAACTTCTACAGACCTGGGCTCTGTTTCTCATGCTGGCCAGGCAGGTATTAGTGACAATGTTGATACTACTACCTAGTCTACCACATGGCCTCTAATGCCCCCCACCACCCAATCGTGTTGATAGATGGGCAGCAAGAGCCAGGACATCACCAGGGTCGTCAAGTCAGATCCTCCCTTCATTGGTATTTTGTCAAGACCCCCGTGTGAGGCTTAACAGATAAACCCTGCATCCCAGAACCCCCACTCCTTGGCCTCTAGCATGGATGTATACTGCTATTGAACAAATGGTTAGAGAGAACAACATTTCAGAATACAGGAACATGATTAGACTCATAAAAACTGATGTGCTTCCTCTCCATTGTGTTGCAGTCCTTTGACATCTGTGGACGTGTATCCGCCATACGAAAGGCCTTGGTCATGCTCTGCAGCTCCCAGGTCAGATTTAGATTAACCTTCTTTTTTCACACGTCTGAAAACACAAACAGATTTGTGCAAATTTGCATATGTGCATTGAGAATTCAGAATGAATCTCGGGAAGTAGTATATCCTTTATATGTCACTCTTTTACTGCCTCCTCCAGAGTTATGGAGTCAGAGCAGGCAGTCAGCAGTGCAGCGAAGCAGGGGATGTTTGTGCAATCTGTCAGGCTGATTTCAGAGAACCCATCGCCCTACTCTGTCAGGTAAGGATTCCTCAAATTATTTTATAAAGGGTTAATAAATCTGTGTATATTACAAAGGAACAGATTCTAATCTAACGAGTTTCTAGACTGAAAAACAGTGTTTGCTGCCCTCTCTTGTTTCAATTTGAAGTCTGCCTAACCTTTTGATCACAACCAGCATGTGTTTCCTTTTCACACTTCCACTGTGCTTATCGGTCGATGGCGTGCATTATGTCCCTCTGCAGCATGTTTTCTGCGAGGAGTGCCTGTGTTTGTGGTTCGACCGGGAGAGAACATGCCCGCTGTGCCGCTCCACCGTCGTTGAGACCCTGAGATGCTGGAAAGACGGCACAACCTCGGCTCACTTCCAGATCTACTAAGCTTTGACAACAAATCATCAGACAAAGAAAGATGTGATGTGATTAATGCTGGTTATATGTATCTTGGATTATTTATTCCGGTTTATCTTTGTTTGGTAACTCAATAAGGTTAAGCATAATTATGCAGAGGCTTTTCAAACGATTAGAAGAGAAAAACGAATCACATTATTTTTCTCTGTGGACAAATGGAGCATTATTTAATTCACAGCCTTATTATCAACATGGTATTCGTTTGAATAGGAAACATAAATCTGGACTAAAGTCAGTTTAACTATTAGATTCTTGACACACAGTCATGCCAACAGTCACATTTTGTTTACCTGTAGACTTAGCCACTGTTGTAAACTGTGATTGTCATTCACAGGAAACATTCTAAGACAAAGTTACTTAAAGTGAGTTTATGATCAAATACTGACCGCATTCACTCTCCTTGAGGTAAGTGCCGTACTTTGTATGATTTTATTTATGGTATTTTCATGGTTGTGTATATAATCTTTTTTTTTTTTCAATGAGTATTGAACATTTTTTTTATTTATTATGTATTTGAAAATGGGTTACTCTGACGTTGATCAAACAAAATATCAGGAAGTCAAAAAAATCAGTCCAAACATATTTTCAAAGCGCAAACAAGTCGTTTAGAAATGAATAATGTGATTAAATATTGAGTGATAAAAGTAAGTTGGTGTGTAACTTCATCCATTCTGTAAACAGCACATCCTGTTATAATGTTTATTGTGAGATCCAGGCACCACAAGCAAAACCCATTTTGTAGTTTTGTATCATGACTGGTGCAGAAATTGTTAGTTTTGCCTGTGCGTACATTTGCTTCTCTTCAATTATGCAAAATGTGTTAAATTTGTTTCCTATTAAGGGTATCATGAATTATTTCTTTTAGAATTATTTCATTTTGGGTTGCATACTAATAAAGAACGACTTCAAAGTGCAGTGATGTCACCTAGTGTAAATTAAAGCACTTCAGCTCACTTTATAAAAGTGTGTTTCTTTGTTAATAATTTATTTCAGAAATTTTTTTTTTTTTTTTAAATTCCAAATACTAAAAGCCATTTGAAATATTTAATCAGTATAAATAGCACAAACTTTAAAAAAGACAGTTGCATTAATCCGGCTCACATTACACTGGATATATAAAACAAAGCTTATTTCCAGAAATCACAGACAGCATTAACAGCATAGCTTCCTATGCACAGGTCCTGTATCATATTTATGTTTCAAAAGCACCTTAACACTGCCCCCAACAAAGAATGCTCAAGCACAGGACAATGTGTAAACATCATCTAAACACTGTAGAAAACATCTAGAAAACATTCATCCTCCCATCATTGACATTTGTACACTATAGCTTATGTAAAAAATAAAAGTACAGTGCATTGAGAAGCTTACAACCGGGTCTATGTAAGTGCATTTTGGATGCACTTGTAGGTCAAATCAGTTTTAACTCCTTTGCGATTGACGCACTCACATTGTGGGAGGTGAAAATTCAAAGCAGTCCTATTAGTAAGCTTTCCCCTCCACTCTACCAGGGGAGGATTACATCACCGTTTTGTAACTGGGATGACAGAATGAGAGAGTCACGCAGGGGGCAGAACGTGCAGCGGACTGACTGCAGGGCTGCTGGGTTCAGTGTGTTAGCTCTTTACGCAACTCAGTGCATCCACATCAAGCCTGAGCTGGTCTTCGTGACACTTGGAAGTTTATTCAGACATAGAGTCCTGAACCTGAAACGTGCATTTAATCCCGATTCCTCTTCCTCATCGCTCGGCCTTTCTTTGCTGCACACCGCCTCTTGCGTCGCATCCTCCGGCTCTTCCGCATCTCCATCTCATAGTGCAAATAATATGAGCCCCTTCCTCGTGCATGGTCCTGAAGGCACCTCCTGTATAACATAAAATGTATGATCTTAATTGGTTAAGGCCCACATAAAATAATTATAATAAATGTTAGACGAATAATGGCAACGCTGTTAAAACAAAGAAGAAGATTTTAACCTATAGGACCTATGACAACACTATTGAATGAACCGTCATATCAGGGAGATGAACTACCTTTTTCCAAACAGAAACCTGGTCAAAATTGGCGAATTAACTGGTCAAAGAAAGATACACATTAAGGGTATTTTAAGAAACTCAAAATATATGATTCATTGCGAAAATAATGATGCCTTTTAAAGATACACACTTATTCCACGTGAAAAAATAAAGGTGAATCAAGTCACTGTAACACTACTTTTACTCTCCGCCTATATTGTTTTATTTTTTATTCACAACTTGTGATAGGCCCGTATGAAAGTTAAACTGGTCAAATGTTTACAATGTGTGACAATAAATTGTGTTTAAAAAAACCCAAAAAACCTCACTAGTATTAATAATAATTGGATAACTCTAAGAATCAAGCAAATAAAAGATAAGCTGCTAAACTGTAAGTATGTGGCGTTCTCTTGCATGAAGATCAATCATATGAAGTTTTTTTTTCAGCCCTGCTAGGAAACATACTTTCTTTACACCTGTGCATGTTTTTTTGAATCATTCAATAATATGAACTACAAAGAAAATACCTGACGAGCGAAGTATAAATCACAAGTTCACTGAAGGAATACATGTGGAAGTAACATTGTCTTACCAATTAATTTAATCCAACACTTAAATCTTAAATTAACATGAAGTTCTCATGTATAAAACATTATAACACCATTATTCAACAGAGCTACATTAACACAATGCATACACACCTACATTACCACACAGCCCACATTATCTCATAGCTAACCATATGTACCCTTCTTATCACGAATGTAGATCAAAGTTTCACTCAAACGCTGCCACTGTGAGGTGACACTGTCATCGCACCTGTTGCTGGTGTGTGCCGCCTCGCGCCTACAGGTGTCGCCTTGTGACGACCAGCACGAGCGCAGTGAAGCGTAACGCTGTGCGCAGGAAGCTCTTCAGGTGGCCTGTCCCGGTCGCCGCCGCCGCCGCCGCCGCCCCCGTCCCGCTTCCTCCGCAGCTGAAGCCGCTGTCCGTCTCCCCGACCGTCCAGCTCTTCTCCAGCTCGTCCCCGATCCTCCGCAGGCGCGAGGCAAGCAGCTGAGCCGCGGTGCATGGCGAGTGTCTGCGGGCGCTGCAGGTGGCGTCACCGGGCAGGAGCAAAGGCTGGTCTATTGGCAGCCAGCACATCTTCTCTGACAGAACAAACCAGCCTTCTCTCTTTAAGTCGTGAGGATATATGACCCTCCTTCTCTTCTGTCATCAAACCTTAACTGTGCTTGCCTACCCCCCCCCCCCCCCCTTTGCCCCCCTCCCCTCCCCTCTGTCTACTGTATTATTCATTGCGGTGTCACATGGTGTTTGGTTTACATCATCCTCTCCCAAAAGAGACATGAAATGGTTAAGTCTTGAATCTCTCCTGTCAGCTTTGAATTTAGGATTGTTTTGTCACAGGGGTTTCTGGGACATTGTGTTCTCCCCCTTGTTTTTTAAACTCTGTGAAAAGCATGTTGTAGCTATTTGCAAGCACTAAAACCTCACTGCCATGGAAACGATACGGCTGCATGTATATTCAGGACAAATGCAAGTTAAATGTACAACACATTTAATATCTTCCATTAGATAGCCGCATCAAAAATACAACTGCGGAATTAAAAAACTCCCGGAAACTATGTAAAGCACGACTTTGTCCGTAGTCGGACTGTTTATAGCGTTGGACACATGCTTGTTTTTGTTGTGGTCTGAAGCTATGGCTCCTTTCAACCGGTTAAAATAACCCCCCCCAAAAAAATACAAGACACTTTGGGGTCATATTTTGACAACAATGAATGGCGGATATGGCCGAGGACGAACTTGCTGCGTTTAGGAAGAGCTGGGAACAAGAGTTGACAGGTAAACAAGAGGAGCAGCGACTTAACTCTGCCCCTCTCCCTCCCTGCGATGCTCTTGGTCAGTCAAGCAAAGACGACTCAAAGAAGGGGTATTTTGAAAACTTAAAAAGTCGCAACAAAACCAGCAGTCCTTCGAAACCAGAGGAGGAGGGGAGGCGTGTTGGTGGAGGAGGAGGACAAGCTGCTGCTGTGTCCAAGGATCAGCCTCAGTATGTGTCCATTGCACACGGGTTACTTGATGGGAGGACCAGTCCGCTGCTGGACAGGATTCAGGAGGAGAGAAGCAGGAGAAAGAGACAGTATCACAACATCACTGGTGGCTGCAGAACCTCCCTGCAGCAGCAGCAGCAGCAGCAGCAGAGAAAGCTGAAGAAAGACAGGGAGCTGGTGGATCAACTCATCCAGGACCTGGTGAGAGGGGGGAAGGGGAAGGAGGGGGGGGGGGGGCGACGGTGATTGTAGTTTATTTGAATGAGTTCACCATATCAAGTCTGTTGTTGTTCTTTCTTCTACAGAATGAAGTCAATGACATTCCTTTCTTTGATATTGAACTGCCGTACGAGTTAGCCTTGAAGATATTCCAACACCTCAACTGCACTGAGCTCGGCAGATGTGCACAGGTAAGCTGCTGCAGCTGTCAAACCATTTGAGCCTTAAAAGCCAAAAAAAATAAATTCCAACCCGACCTTGTTTTATGTGCAATGATATTCCTGTGAAAGAGTTGGACAAAAAGATCTGTAGACATACAGTCCTTGCCACCTCAGTCTTCAAAGCATGCTTAAGATAGGGTCCCTATGTGTGTGCGTGTGTGTGTGTGTGTGTGTTGGTGAAAAATATATATAAAAAAATATAAAAACAAAACAATATACATTTTTACCCTTAATAGGGTTATTTTTCTCACGGAATCTTATTGCTTTAAAAAAGTGTTGAGCTCATCAGTCTCCTAACAAATATTTAATAAAAAATCCAACAAAGGAAAAATCACACTTCAATTAAATACAAATCACTTATGAAGCTGTTCAGGTTAGGCTATAGAAAGACGGCTCAGGGGTCACAAACCAAAAAAAAAATATTAACAAAGTAAGACCAACAATTTCAGACTGAGTCAATTAGTTTTTGTTGAATTTAGCTTTAGTTCTAGTGTTAGTAACAAACCAGAAATAAACTGGGATGACCTAAGCTTGCAGCCTGGATGTCTGGTGTAGGTGTCCTCGCTTAGTTCAAGAGAAAAAGGTCGTAGTAATACACACATCATGTAGGTGCAAAAACAGCAGACTGAAAGAAAGAAGGTATGTTGCAAACTTCAAATGCCACAAAAACATTTTGATACCATCACAATCCCTGAGGATCTCTCTGATGGAATATTAACTTCTTGTGGCATTTGAGCGGGTGTGCGGGCATACCTTCTTCCTCACTTAGTCACTGACTAGAAGTATTTCAATGCATGTGAGAAAATGACAAAGACAAAAAAAACTGTAAGGCAGCCTGTGCTGATTCTTTTTGTCTTTCTATTTGTCATTCTTTTTGTAGAGCGGTCACACTTCGCTTGCTGATTTCAGCTTTTACAGCTCGCGGTTAAAGTCCTTACAGCTACTCTTACCTTCCACTTGCAGAACTGCTGAGGCAAGCTTTATCGCCTTATTTGACCCAAATGGGTATAGATTAGTAAATTACATTCTGTTTGGCAGGACTACAGCACATGGTGCATATGTCCATTTGGCAGTCAGCCGGGCTCATCAAGCACAGATAAATCAAGTGATGCAAGCTGGTAATGTATGCTGACTCAATCGGCTGTAACACGGTCCAATCTCCTCCCAGGTGAGCAGGGCATGGAGAGTCCTTGCAGAGGACTCAGTTTTGTGGTTCAGGATGTGCACAAAGGCTGGTTTTCACCAGGAGGCCAGCGTGTCCGACTCCCCCTGCTGGAAGAGCACGCTGCGAGACTGCAGGAACTCAGCCAAGACTGTGTGCTCCAACTGGAAGGTGAGCCTCTGCTGTCTCATCGTGGGGAATACTTGTTTTCAACCATTCTTATTCAGAGGGGCTTTATTTGCATATCATTCTTGTAATTTATAGTTTGAATCTAATGTAATATTAATCTCTTTTACCTCTTATCTCCCTGATCTTTTATACTTTTATGCTTTTAAATCGGCTTCCTTCATTTGAATCTTTTATCTTTTTGTGGTTTAACATTGTCTTTTTCCGTTTCTTCTGTGGTTCCTTACTGGTTTTAGATTGTTTTATTTCCTTTTTATTTCTATAATTTGTGGAACTCCTGTTGTATAATCTCTCACTATTTTGCTTCCTATTATTAATCATTGTCTGCTAACATTTCTCTATTTTATTTTTATTTTTTTAAGCACTTTGTAACCCTGTTTTGAAAAGTGCTATAAAAATAAAGTTTATTATTATTATATGAGTTTAAATGAAGATAGGTAATGATTGGAAAAAAAACCCACAGCCAAGTAATATATAGTTAAATCATTGTACTCCTTCTTTAGCTGTTAGATAGTCGACATTTTCTATTGTGGTATTTTGTGTTTAGTTAAGAAATGTTATTTTCTGTGCAGAACCGAGTGGGATCCATCAGCCAGCTGCAGTTTGAGTTGGGGAAGGTTCTATGTGACGTCAGCTTCTGTGACAACTTTGTCTTGGCTGGGTGAGTTACAAGAACTTCAAACATGAAGCTCACTTCTGACAGCAGACGTTCGTCCTCTCATATAAGTAGACTCATACTCGTACAAATATTTAGATACATGACTGAGTGCTTCATAAAAAATAAACATTACATTTCGTTATTGAATGTTAATTATCACTGATTTGATGGATTAGCGATGGACATCTGAACTTAACTTAATTTATTTGTATTTATTTAACAGGGACACATGCAGCAAGCGTTGCCTCATTATGTACAAAGAACTTTGTGATGAGAGCAACAGTTGTTACTTTTAGAAATACCTGCTACCTACAGAATCTAGAAAAAATAAGAGAAAAAAATGGCGCTAAACTTGGTACACAAGATGTTTAATTGTCATTTGGTTGACAAACACTAAACCAAACATACGTCATATCACAGCACCTCATAATGTATCACACTCCCAATGTAATAAATAAAGAGAGAAAGTAACTAGCAGATGGAACAAAACTCCCTCAACTTACTTTAATCCTTCAGAGGAACTAAAAATAAGTACAATCTGTTCAAGTCAGGTCTATATGATTCAGTGCAAAATGCTTTTTTTTTAAATATATCTTTATTAAAAAATAATGCATGCTTTTGCAAGCAAGCTTCATCTACATTATAGTCAACAAAAGAAGAAGTGCTAGGTAAGGAACGAGCAACAGTTTTTTTTTTTTTAACATTATGAGCAAATCAATACTTACAGGCGGGTAGTTAAAACAACAGAAGGTCCCCGGTTTAAAAAATGATAGCATCAGCAACATTTAGTACCTTATGGGAATCATTAATGATGGAATCTTTTTTGTATGAGGTTTAAATTCTCAGCACATTTTAAAATCAATATACTGTATACTTCTACTGATGACTTCACTAATCATCATACAATATTGTCTCTCTCCTATATGCCCTGAATGGTGGAACTGTGAGCACTTTCAAGCGCTTTTTTTAATCATGTTTTTATCAAGTTGTTCCTTCTCTCCTCTATGTTGTCTCTTGTTACACCTGTTCTGTAATTGTTGTGTCATGATGGATGTCACTGTCCTGCTGGCTGCAAAACCAATGTACCGAATGATGGTGGTAGTTCATGAGGGAGGAGGACATAAATTGCAGCTTAACTAAACAAATCTTGCCTTGAAATAACTGAGACAGTGATGTATTGTGATGAACCACAGGAGCTGGTTGAACAGTCCATGAGGATGTGTGCAGAGTCTCAAGGGAGCGATGTGATTAGATTCCCTTCAGTCCTGCTGTGTCTCATCGGAGAAGAAGACAGTGTGTTTTTATCTAGTCAGGTGAGCAGATGTAGGGCATGCCTAAGGAAAACAGTCCAGACATGAAAAAAAACAACACTTTTCTTAATGTGAATAAAATACTCTTTAATCCTTATTTTATTACCACTGCTATTAGCGATTTCACAGCATCAATATTTTCCCCATTATTTGTACTTAAAAGGCCATTTAGGTAAACGAAAGTCCTTGAATTTGGTTAACAAGAAAAGAATCAATGTACATAAAGAGAAATCGAAAGTGATACAATTGCATCCACAAAATCTTGTTAGAAAAGCGCTGGAGTGAGATTTGGCGTTCCAAGGCAACATGAGACATCGCTTCATTAACCCAACAACTTCTCGGAGTCAAACAGCGACATGAAAGGCCAAATCTGTCAAGACACACACACATGCAGGTTTCAGTTTTGAAAGTTTCCTACGTGTAAAAGTTTTGACAAATTTCTTGGACTACATTCAGTGTCATAATCCTGTTGAGTTGATGTACCAACTAATTGAAAGTGTGTTTTCCTATTACTGATTGCCTGCCAAACCCTGCGATGTAGTGTGCACACACACACACACACACACAAGCGGACGCACACATGTACACCCTCTGTCACACTTGCTGTCACTGTGTCACACACTCTGGCTGTGAGGAGAGGACTTGCTCAGACATGATGGTATCTGTGGAGGTGGGAACTCTGACAGTTTGTCGTCTCCCACAGTGAGAGCTCGTTGACTCGGGATAAGAGTGAAGTCAACAGAGCTGTAGCTTTGTTCCAATGAGAGGGACTTTGTTGTTACTTGAGAATGAGAGGTGAAGGCAGGGCTGTGTTGGTGAAGAGCTAAAAAGAAAAATAATGGGTTGGAGAGCACAAGAAGGAACAATTGCAGTCTCTCTGAATGGTTGGTGTATTAGACTTGACATTTTGGGTGCTACATATTGTATTTCAAGATCCCATAAACCTTTTTTAAAGAATTGTTTTGGGGCTTTTTATGCCTTTATTGGAGAGATATGACAGTGGATAGAGTCTGAAATGGGAGAGAGAGAGAGAGTGGGGAAAGAAATGCAGGAAAGGAGCCACAAGTTGAATTTCAATCGGCCACCAGCGCAGCAAGAGCCGTACATCTTCATCAGAAGGTTTTATGCATTTGTGTAGTTGTTGATGCAAACTTAATAACAACTGAGGAGATTGCCACCCTCTCGTGATCTCTCCACTGGATGGATTTTTTTTAACTGTCAAGGCACAGGAAGGGCCTCATTGAGTCTACACCTGTCGTATTAAATGTGCTATATAAATAAACTTGACATTGAGATAGCAAAGCTTTTAGTTTGTTGAATCACAAAAAAACAACAGTCTAAGGTTATAGTCTAAATAGTCTAAATGTGTTTCTACGGTTAAGAAAAGTCATCTTTTTCTTTAGTATAGAGCTGCAAATAACTCTTTTTCTTCATTGATTAAACTTCTATTTATTAATAAATTCATTAACCAATAATTATGTCTGTTACGCCCCATCATAAGGCGGCCCTATGAGGCTTACAACCACCCACAAATTGACCCAATAAAACGCATCATACACCTTACCAAAGTCAAAACCAACACAAAGATCAACTCACAAACTAATTCAACAAGAAAACACATTATCCCTGACAGCAGCGGCCTCTCTCCTCCTTTTAGCCAGCACTGGACTTTTAGGGTGTATTCACACCAGGAAAGTCCTTTAGTTTGCGTTCTTTGGTCCGGACCAAATACAATGTTTCTTTTTTGGTTTGGTGCGGTTCGTTTTCACATTTTACTTTTGGCAAGCGGCCCAGAATTTGTACAGAAATCACCTCTTCGGCTTGGTCTCGGTTCAGCTGTTTGGTGCGCATCCGAGTTCGATTGTTTGTATTCGCACCTGCCCAAAAGAACTGCACCAGGCTTTTAGTTTGTTTCAAGCAAACTAAACAAGGTAGGTGTGAATACAAGCCAGGTGCACCTCGTTAGGTAATCAGTAGTTTCCCCTGGGCAGAGCTGAAGACAACAGGAGGGGAGAAGGGACAAACAGCACAGGGAAACATACAGCCGTAACAATGTCCATAAAATGTCCAAAAATGGCAAAAACAGACAATCCTATTGTTTTGCAAAGTCCTAGATGACAAGTGTTAATGTCTTGTTTCCCCCCACACATCAGTGCTGAAAGAGACATTAAAGCTCAATAGATTGTCGTAAAGGAGTAAATTAATATATAGATTCTTCACTGTTGTATGAGTAATCTAAACCTGGAGCTCTACTCTACAGTGAATGTTTTGGTAGCATAACCTTCACATCCTGCTGTTGTGACAAGTTTTATGGATGCAATGTCCCACGTCGTTCCGCCCAAACAACACCCCTGTAATCCTGGAACGATCACGTAACAAAGACTTTTGAAAACAAAATAACAAGTCGGGAACGTGTGAGAGGGAAAATGATTCAGTGGTGAGAGAAGGTGACGTCAGGTGTTCTCGAAAAACTGAAAGTTCATTGAGTGCGTCCAGCCATTTTCCATCCGGCCTGATATATTCATAATTATTCATGTTTGATGCACTGTGCTCGTTTGTATGTCAGGTACACGTCTGGCGATGTGAGGCTGTGGGATACTCTGCACTGGGACTCATCGGCCTCTTTCCTGAAGATCAACAGCCTGTCGGCTAACTCTGAACCCAGACCTTTTGTTAGTCATGTGCAGGTCAACAGCACAGTGGCTGCTGCTGCGTACGAAGACGGTGAGCACTTTTCCTTACATCCTAAGGGAATTCTTTGGGTTTAAATAATGTATTATTATATATAAACTACAAAACTGTGTTTCACTGCAGGTTGTGTGGACCTATGGAGCACAGAGACAGGCGGAGAGCCCATCCGCCACTACCAGACCCCAGGGAGGATCCAGGTCCTGGCCCTGAGCTCGGACAGCCCCATCCTGTGCTGGGCGGCAGGGCCTGATGTTCGGATAGATGCTGCCGATGATCACGGCTACTGGAGGACACTCTGCCGGACTCAGCTACCCAAGCCAGTGAGTTCAAATGTTTGATACCTTTATATGTGTGAAATGCTCCATACTGATGTGTTGTGTTTAAATAAATGATGCCCCTCACACATTGCTTTCTTTTTGTGTGTGAAATAATAATATAAACATTTAGGGTTAGGGTTCTGGAAATGTTAGTTTTTTTGGGGTTATTTTTGCCTTTTATTGGATGGGACAGCTGAAGAGAAAAATGAAATATTGGGAGGTCAGCTGTGTCGAGGTCAATAGTATGTGGGGCTATGTGCTTTTTTATTTGAAATTCAGCTAACTCTTCTATTCCCTAAAAACAGTTAAATGGAGTTAAATCTCTGAAAAAGGTACTCTACACATTACTGTATTCTGAAAGTAAAGTGTCGGTATATCGGCTTCTTCACAGGTGGAAAGCCTGGTCGTGGTACCAGGCAGGGGGCAGCAGCAGCGCCCGCTTGCAGCCCTCTCAGCAGGAGATGCCGTGTACCTGTTGGACCCCCGTGAGGAGGAGCCACAGATACTCCACTCGGTCTACGGTCACCCTGTTACCTGCCTGGATGCGTCAGACTCCCATGTTGCACTTGGAGTGAAGCGCACAGGATGGGCAATGCACGATGGAGGGAACAAGGTGAGTTCAGTCTCTGTACAATAGCTGTCAATAAACACATACAATTTAAAATCAGCTATGAGCGTGGAATTCACCCCACTCTGGTTACAGACATTTTCTGTTGAAATGAGAACAAACAGGGTGTTTGAAACTTGAAGCAACCAACAGCACATGTTTAATCATTATGCTTTTGAGTCTGGCATACTAACATTTGAGAATGGGACTCTTATTTTTATAGACATTTTTTCTAAGGCTGCATGGTGGTGCAGAGGTTAGCTATTGCTCACAGCAAAAGGTTCCTAGTTTGAATTCCCCTGTTGGGCAGGGCCTTTCTGTGTGGAGTTTGCATGTTCCCCTCGTACTTGTGTGGGTTTCCTCCGGCTTCCCCCCCACAGTCAGAAAACATGCTTTTTGGGTGAATTGGGGACTCTAAATTGCCCATAGGTGTTGGTGTGAGCATAAAAAGTTTGTCTGTCTCTAAAAGTCAGCCCTGTGATTGACTGGCAACCAGACCAGGGTGTATTCAGCCTCACGGCCAATGACAGCTGGGATTGGCTCCCCCCCCATGACCCTAAACAGGACAATATAAACCACTCATTTGGAACACAAACACCAATACATGAAATCTTTAACTGTCATTGTGCTTTTCTTGATGGCTGCTGCACATGATATATTTGTGTTTTCATGAAATCACCAATATAGGAAGCATATCTAGATGTTTGATCACACGTCAATACCTTTAAAGGGCAGGACAAGTTCACGAAACGATTTCAAATCAGAGTGAACCATTAAACAAAGCACAATCAAAACAAAAAAGAAATGTGGAACAGTTCAATTATTATGACGCTCTCAGTGTTTTTAATGATGGCCTTGTAATGGTACCTTAGTCAGTCTACATCTTTGTAAAGAGACACAGTGTTGTTTGAGAGCCACCTTCACGTGGACAGCACCTTCAAATCCATGCGGGATAATGATTTAGTGTTTGCATGTTAATGGGACTGGTGGAGCCGGATCAAGGTCTCTTTCTTTTGTTCCTTGATTTTAGATAATATCTCCTAAAAATGGATCCCAGACATCAGTGATTAGAATAAAAAAAAGGGTTTCCACTAGAGGACACGTGCACTCAAAAGGTGCATAATGAATATTGGAAGCTAAAAGAAAGGAAAAATAATATAGTTGATCAGATGGAGTATTATAGAAATGGCGTTGTAAACCATATGAGAGAGGAGAGGGATTCAGCCACTGTCGTCTCTGCGGCCTCTTTAATGAGTCAAACTCTTTAGGAGGAAATATTACCTTCTCAATGTGAAGCACACGTTTATTATCCACATCAAGTCTGGTCTGCACTTGAATCTGATTTGTTTTTTAATTGCAGAATATCAAAGATCATTCTCGGCATTACGTCTCATCTGTGTAAATGTAAACTCTGTCTCTGGACAGTGTGATCACTATTACTCTGTGTCTCTTCAGACCACTTGACTCCCCTCAGAACTGAAGGTGATGTACCTGGAGGGGTTTTGTTTATAGTACAAATAGCTCTCTTAAATAGCCACAAGACCTCATTGGGCCTCGCTTCTAATTGCTCCAGCCTATAAGGGTGCTTTGATAAACTGATGTTCCCTGAGCTGCCTTTGTTTGCTTCTAATAATGTTGTGTTTTAATGACCCTGTGCTCCTAATTGACTCTTAAGCCTTTACTCCGAAAGTAGACCGAGCCAGGAGACAAACTATTCTGCTGGGATCAGGAGGCAGATATATGCAGCAGGCAATATGCTTTCAAGTTCACTTCAGTTGTTTTTTTTTTTTTTTTTTTTTTTTTTTTTAATCAATGTTTGTTGTAGTAAAACGAATTATAATTAGATTAAAAAAACTCAGATGTTAGTTGCCATAGAGACTGGACATCTGCTCGATTTAAAACAGCAAGCAGCACCCGATCATATTGTGTGTTTGCAGCACTTTGCTTGTGATTGACAGTTTTTTGGCAAAGCTTCTTCACTGACATCATCCACTTTAAAAAAAAAAGAAAAAAAGAAGAACTGAAACACTGAAACACTGATTCAGTAACAGCACTAAAGCACCACATAGTGGACCAGCCGGAGAGCAGCAGTGAAGGATACAACGGGCTATGGATAGAAAGAGAGATAGTTAGATAGAAGTTTGTGCAGTATTATATGGCTCATAAATTAGGCACTAGAAAGATAGAAAACTTGTAATTTTATCATTAATACAACAAAAATCTTCTTCCCATTCCATCTTTCTCTTATTATTTGTAATTAATTAATTATATATTTTTTTGTCTTGTGTAATTAAATGTGGGATAATGAGTAGGTACAGTAGGTGAAAAATGCCTGGAAAAAAACATGATGAAAAGATCATTGGCATTTATTTTTGTATTGATCGATTATTCCAGATTTTCTTGACTCTGCTGTCAAATCTGATATCAAAAATACTTTGAGCCTTTCTACATAAAGCTGGCTTTGCAAATTGCTGCTGATGTTGTACCATAAATGCGTGTGTTTAATTTATAACCAGGGCATATGACATCATCCAAATCCGTCTGAGCTGCGTACTAATAATTAAAAGTAAAAGATCAAAGCTGTAGGTCAAGTTTTGTGTAAGCGTAGCATGTTTGATTTAAATGTATTTATTTTCAGTACTTCGGCACAGAAAGTCTCAAAGATGTTGCTGTTTTCCAAAGTGGGCTTTGCAAAGTCATTATTAGCACTACGCTCTTACTAATTAGAACATTTCACAAATTGAATTAACCTTCTGTCACTCCTCTAACCGCAGTTTTCAAGCCTGCAAGGAAGACAAAGACTTCATTTTGGCCGCAACAATCTTTTTCCCAGACTTCATCCAGAAAACATATGCTTAATTAAAATCTGTCAAATTTCATGGAGGTGGCATCCGAGAAAGTCGTCTCACACCTTTTAACTTCACATGAAGAGTGAAACGTTTTCACTTTCAACATCTTGACGTGCATGAAAAAAAAAAGCACGTTGTTACACTTGATGCCTGATCCCGAAAACTCAATGCTAATCATTGAGTTTGATGATGTTTTGTTTCAAACTCTGACAAGTTAAAGTACAAAAGCAGCTCTGTTCCCACTGTACGGCATTCTTTATCATAATTTGCCACATTTGGCATCGTTATTATTGAGCTGGTGGCTTTGTCTTTTTTAGTGGTGTGTGTGTGTGTGCGTGCATGCATGTGTGGTCGGAGCCAGTCTCCAGATCCTCATTACTACGTGCCGCCCTCTTGCCAGTGGACTGAGGGGCACCCAGGCAGACACCCAGCTCGTGGCTGGGCATTTAATACAAGCTGGCATCTCCACTGGCAATCTATCTGTCTACTGCCGTCCATCTACCACAGAGCGCGAGTGCTGTCTGAAAACCTGTCAGCCTCTCACTGCCTTAAGTTGAGAGGGCTGGTCGAATGCTTAAAGGCTGAATTCAAGTTGTGATGTTTTGTCTTTTCTTATGTAGAGTCAGTAGATACACTCATGGACCATTGATACACAGTAGTTCATTAGGGTCATTTTACTCTGGACTAAAGCAGGACTGGACAATATGGCAAAAAACAAAAACAAAAAAAAAAAACAGATTTCCACGTCTAATAAATATATTATATCTATAAATGACAAAGAAATGACAATAAAAAAGTTCTGCTTTTATTTTATCAATAACATTCAACAAAAGCAAACTGAATTTCCCTTTCAGGATCAGTAAAGTCGCTTGAATTTCTCTTCTGATGTTTCAAATACAAGCTGTTAACTTGTCTTAACAGCTTGACAAAAGTTCACTGTGAAGTTTTAGGGTACAGTAAAAGTACAGATGAAAATACTGGGTGGCACATACCTGGGGCCACCCAGCTACTCTGTAGGAAGAAAACAAGGCTGGAGGACGTGAACTACGGGTGCCCAGAGGGAGCAAAATTGAAGAGGTAATCTCAATTTGAGTTATTGAAAATCTTTAAAATTGCAATCACCGAGCCCTACCCGAAAGAATAGTTGGTGATTTCAGTCATCTAACTCACATGTATACTACAGGATAAGTAACACAATCTGCACGTCAGAGTTGAAGGAAAGAAGACATCCTGCTTTGAAAATATGGAGTCAAAGCCTGCAGGTGGATGCTGGGATGGAGGAGAGGTTACTAAGAGTATCTGAGCTATTACAGCAGAGTTTCAGCAGGAGCATAGTGCAGTAGCAGCATAGTTGATATCAACAAATGGACACAGGGAGGTTTAATGTCAGGAGGACTGGACACACGGCAAGCATCAACATATCCCCCAATGTATCATGGACTCATGCAATATAACCATTTATTTAAAGTTATCACACAGAGTTGGTTTAAAATGTCTTCAGACTTTACAGTGAACAGAATCGTCACGTGAGAGTTGCAGCATGTTTGAGATTTCTGCCTGAACAAACTTGCAGACTTATTTTAATCTCAGGCTCTGAATTCTCATTGCACACAACCTTATTCTGATATAATATGATGTCAGTATTTTTGATTGAGCCATGTTGCTGTCGGTTTTAAACTGGGTTCTGTCCTGTTAGATGAGCTGGACATACAAACCCTTGTACCAGGTCCAGTGAGCTAATCTGTGTTTGTTCACATGGTGTCTAAACCCAGTGTGGCTCTGAATCCAGTTTTGTTTCAGATGTTGGTGTTTATGTAAGACACAGACGGAGAATCATGGATGAGTATGAGCCCAAAATCTGCAGATTTCATTCAAACTTCAGACCTCATTTAATTTGTAAGTTTCTCCTTTGAATTGATGACGCAGTGAACCCGGCTGGTTCTGCTGGTTGGAGACATGTAACCCTTTATGGTTTTCACTCCTGAATGATGGTATTCAACTCTAATAAAATCCCAACTAGCATATCGGGAAAGGAAAACCGATTGAAGGGACATCTATCACTAAATAAAATACTTCAGGCGATATATAAAATAATAAGCTGCAGGCTTTGAACTGTTGGTTTGACAAAGAAGCTAATTCAAGATATCATTTAGACTCTTGGCACATGAGATGGCCATCTTCAACCACTTTTTGTCATATTCATATTCATCATATTGCCCAAAATAATGAATCAATTTATTGTATGCATCATATTCATCCCATTGTACCAACAGCAGCAACACAAATTGACTTTTTCAAAAACGCAGCAATAATTGCCAAATGTTGTCATCTTTTTAAAAAGCAGAGAGAGTACTGACATTAACATCCCGGTGCAAGCTGCCATTAGAGATTCTTTTGTGTGTGCAAGCCTCACCGGGGATCCAGCAAGTGCATTAAACTAACAGTTCTTCCATAGTCATCCTCATGATTATTCTTCCTCCAAACGTACTGCTACAGCCTGTAAACAGGCCCCCAAATATCATCACAAAGCAGCTCTTCTGCCTCCCTGAGCGGCAGTTCTTCATTTTAGTGGGAGGATGCTTAATAAAAAAAATATCTTCCTGACACCGTAATGATTCATGGACAACAGCCTGCTGAACCTCATTTCTGCATCCCTCCATTCTCTCCCCCCCCCCCCCCCCCCTCTTCTCTACTGTCCAAATCCTATCAAGCTGTCATTTCAAAGTCCGTTGTGATTTAGGTTTTGCCCCTGGGTGGTGCACAATTAAAGCTCTGCTTGGCCAGAATAAGGGACACACACAAAACTGCTGGCATCTCCTTAAGGCTTACATCATGCCTCCCCCTCCCTCCCTCCCTTTAAACTTCTTTATCTTTGCTGTTGTCTCTCCATCTCGCTCTCTTTCTGTCTCTCCTTTTCTCTCCTACCTTCTGTCTCTTCCTGCTCTCCCCGCGTCCCTCCTTCTGTTTAATTTCTTTAGCGTTTTAATTATTCAAAGTCAATTTTGCCTGGCGGTTATCCTGTTTGTTCAGTCTCATTTGGACGAGAAAACACCAGCCTCTAATTGACCAATTAGGCCAGCTCCAAATGACATCATTGTAAGTTGAGTGAAGAAAGTTTAGTGCTGCGATGGAGCCGGAGGCAGTGGTCTTCATATCTGTCTGTAAACTGAAGAATGCCCCAAGGCAAGATTTACTCTCTTCTCATATTTAACTCTTAAATGTTGCTTTGCTTTTAATTAACTGGCAACGAATCACAGTGAGCTGAGCTTGTCCTTTGTATGATACATGATGTGCAGCAAAGTCAGCTACGAGTGTAATGTGCAGAGAATTAGCAGGTTCTCATGCTTTGGCATCATTTTTTTAAAACTAGAGGACATGTCCACTTCTAATATGCCCTCTATGCTTAGAGTATTGGACATTTTTGCTCGAGTGACTCGCCATCAAAATGGATTGTGATGGAAAAAGTTCTCACTTACAGAACAGTCACCTTATTTTAGGAGCATAAATGAGTTGGACAAGTTTGAAGTAGTCATCATTTTGCATGTGGTTGCAATCCTTTACCGATGTCCGACATTTGTTCTTGATGAGTGTTGTGCTGATTGAAGTTGGACTGAATAATACATGTTTTCAATGACTGCGTTTCAGATCCACGTCTACAGCCTTGAAACGGGCAAACTGGTGGCCACTGTGGGCGACTCACTTGGAGATTTCTCCTGCATCAACCTGAGAGACAGCCCTCCTCACCTGCTGGTCTGTGGAAACAAAGATAGGAGGTAGAACAAACCCTCACACCAATGGAGAACACACACAAACACAGAAAGGAGAATCTTCTGAAAACGGATAGTCGGTGCCTATTATTTCAAACATCGCAGAGAGTTGAAACTGAGCCAGGAGCTCAAGTTTTTTTCCCTCCAGAGACACCTGACGATGGAGGTACTTCAAGTGAAAAAACGGTGTTTACGTAGTGTTCAAGAAGGCCAGGCTCCATTCAAATCAGTGCATTATTCACACGTTCCAGTCTCAGTCAGAAAGCTGCTAAATCTGTTGTGAAAAAAAAAAAGAAAGAAAAGAAATACTTAGATGTGAGGTGCTCTTTGTGCTGAATGGAGATGTCTTTCCGTCTGTCTCTTCTATTACCTGGGAAACTGTACAAGAAAGACATCTGGCCACGCACGCATGCATTTGCACACGCTTGCCACATCCCTAACCTGGCTCTCCAGATGAGGAAAAGAAGCATAAAAGAGGCCATTCTCATCTATTCTGCACTTGTTAGCAGCTGCCGCGGAGAACAAGCTGGCAGGGAGACAAAAATCTCTGGTGCTTCCTCGTCCAAAGCTGCCCCTGCTGTTTCTATTCAGCACCAAATCCATCTGGCTGTTAAGTGGTTGGCTAAAAGGGAAAAGATGGACCGTGTCATATTGTTAAGGTTCTGTCTTCTTAGAAACTTCGCTGTTAGCAACCATCAAAAATTCACTGTTCGAAATGTTCCGTCAAGTGGATGCAGAAAAATGTTCAACATTTGTTTTGGTTGAAGAATTGAAAGATGTATTTTTTCGCTCTCTGCCAAAGCATTTGGGAGTTCCAATTTCATTTCAGCTTTTTACTTTTGTTCTTTGCTCTCTGACAGATGAGTAGTTTTTGTTCAGTGAGATGCCACTGTGTGCTCAGGGCATTCAGTTTCCAGTGGAAATGATGGAGACTGAGGGACAGTCGGTGATCTTGGCCCTCTTACAGGGTGGCTTAAGGCCAAAGCCTAATGCATCCCTTCCTTTTTTGTCCAAATGATTTTTTTTGTGAGATCCAGGGAGCAAATGAGGGCTCCTGGTAAGGGCAGTTTGGAAGACAGCCACATTTGTGCAAACAGGAGAAAGCCAAGTGAATAAAGTAAGAGGAAGAAGAGACACCTGTGGCTGCTGATCACTTTAATAACAAGTCCACTTTACTTTACTTTACTTTACAGTGCAGATCAGAACAACATTTTGTTGCATTACGCTCGTTGTAGTGCAGGGTAAGTATTTACATGAAAAATAAGGTGCAGATAGTAATAGGTATAAAAGAAAGCTATGTATAAAATTACTATAAGGATAAATATATTGCACATTTGTAATGTTATATTGTATTGTACAGTCCAGTGAGGTAGTCCTGTGTTGGGGTTTGATGGGGGAATGGAGGGATTATTTTTTGGTGTTCAAAAGTCTTATGGCCTGTGGGAAGAAGCTGTTACAGAACCTGGATGTTCTGCTTCGAAGGCTGCGGAACCTCTTTCCAGAGTCCAGCAGCGAGAACAGTCCACGGTGGGGGTGGGAGGTGTCTCTGCTGATTTTCTGAGCCCTGGTCAGGCAGCGTTTATTTTATTTTTTGCAATCTCCTGGATGGGAGGAAGTAAAGTCTTGATGATCTTCTCCGCCGTCCTCACCAGCCCCTGCAGTCGGAGGCACTGGAGGCTCCGGACCAGACAGGGATGCAGTTTGTCAGGATGCTCTCTATAGCGCCTCTGTGAAAAGGTGGGAGAGGTGTGCTCTCTTCATCCGGCGCAGAAAGTGCATCCGCTGCTGAGCTTTTTTTTTTTTTTTTTTTAATACAAGAGCTCCAGTGTGAAGGGACCAGGTCAGAGTGTCAGGAACTTTGTGCTGCGGCTAGGTTATGTTCTTGGGTTTAGTGATCCTCAGAAGATGAAACCTACTGACTGTTGTTGTCTCTATGATTTCTTTTTTTTTTTTTTATCAAGAACTGGTGTGTTTTGCTATAATAATAACTTTTTCAGAGTATGATGGATGCTGACCTGAAAGTACAAAAACAAATTCAAACAAATTTGTAGCTCTCATCCATAAAAACAAAATTATAGTAAGAAAATAGTCAAAAACACGTCATAAAGTGTTTTATTAATTAAAGAAAAACTAAATCTCTAGAAGAAATCCACTGCAAACGTATTATCCTGTCACGAGTCACAAACTTGTTAATACGCTGACACGAGGAAAATGCAAGAATGTACAAAGACTGTATAAACTCCTCTTGTGCAGAATCTCTAAAGAGAATTGAGTCATATTTGTATTTCATTGTATTCAATCACGTTGTGGGTTGGCCACATTATTTGCTTTTTTTTTTTTAGTTTTTATGAGCCTTTGGATTACACTCATGATTCAACTTTTTTAGATTAAGTTTGTTGACACATTCTGGACTCGATCTACGTGTGATCGTGGAGTAGAGAAAGATACAGGTGGTCTTACTCAACAAGTTGTAAATGAACTCCTCCTGGACTCAGAACCTGCAGCAAAGTTTTGAAAAACACTTTAAACAGCCTAAATGTTTTCGACACGTTGAAGTTATCTGTTCAGGTAGAAAATGAAACCAGACAACTTTGTATGACTAGAGTTAGGTTTTCATCAGACATCACCCTGCATGTATAATGATTCATGTCTGGTCCTGCATTAGGGGGCCACACTTCTCGGAGCTCTCCCTCCCTGAGCTGCTGCTGATTAATGAAGAGGAGTCTGCCCACTGACAGCTCACTGAAGACAGAGTTGCCTCCAGTAGTAGATTTATGGCTTCCTGCGATCTGCCACTTACGCTCAGTCCTTATTGTTTAAACGTGTGCTTCAATCACGTAATGCCACCAAGCAGACAGAAGTAACTGTGGACAACAAGTCCACAGTGCCCGTTTAGTCATTTAACTAGCACAGTTTGGAAGCAGAAATGGAATCTGCCTGAGTCCCCAAAGTGGATTTGATTATGGTAATGAGGTCTTGGAGAAGGTTGAGGCTGGATGCAGTCATGTCCTGGATGCTTTCAGCTGCAATAAAGCCACAAAGACAACAGATGGAGCTGCTGGTCCCCTGGGCTGCTGCTGCTCCTGAAACCCAGGGAGCACAAACCAGCTCATTCTGCCATTTATCCAGTAAAAGAAATTATTCATACACTACGATAATAATAATAATAATAATAATAATAATAAGAGAATCATTACAATACTGATGGTGATGATCATAATTTGCCAACTATAATAATGATAGAAGAATTATAAAGTGAGTAGAAAAAATGATTGAAACATGCAAGAGCAATTCAAATCAGACAAACGCACAGAGCCATTTATTCATTCATTAAATACTACGTTTTAACAAATCATGGAGTCTGGTGGAGTGAACAATGATCTCAATATGATACATTATATGCTCAGTGTTATGCAGTCTTTCTTTCCTTAAAAAAACTTTTAAACCTTTTTTTATTTTTTTGTTGCCCTTATTTAAACCAAATATCTGTTGTATAAAGGCTGTTAAACCATTACATTTTTGAATTGCAATTAATCTCAATATTTCAATAGTTAATCTGTATAATTGTTTTTTTTAATTGCATGTTTAAAATAAGATTATTTTAAACAAGCCCAACTATTTTTATTAAAAAAATAATAATAATAATTGGGCTTTTATTTTCTAATTTTACAGCTGAGAATACTTAACTTGCTGAATTCAACCCTGCTTTTATTTTGAAATAAAGTAAGAACCTTTTGGTAGTTTGAAGGCTATGACAATAATGAAACTTATAACAAAATCTAACAGCTGACAGCCCTTAATCATTTATAATATCAAACAATTTGTATCATCCCACAAGGAGCAACTGGCTGGGGTCTTTTTTTCTATTAGACACATTTACAAACAAATGACAAAGAAGGATCTAAAAGTGAAACCTACAAACCGTATGGATGGAAATAGACAAACTAGATCAAACAGGAGGATCAGTATGTTGAGGAGAGAAAGAGAAAACTTACATACACGTTGTTCTAAATACAAGCTTTGTTCTGTATTCTCCTGAGTCTACATTTTAAGCCTCTTCATGTTTATCATTAGTTCATCTGCTCTTAATTCTATTATACTGTTTTTTTTATGGCCCTTTCTCTGATCCGTTGTTGTAAGTGATCCCAGGATTTTCACGGCTCATTAGTTTAATTTTTCTCGTCATTGTTTTAAGAGTATGAATCTGACACGGGCATGATCAAGTAAAGGTGCTATATCATGTTGTAAGTGGCTGTGGGGTAACAGTAGATGGCATAATGAAGTGTCTGGGTTAATCCTCGTCGCAAATAAAGCTGGAGCTAAATCTTTCAGCACATGCGCCTCCGTTCGTATTTGGACTCTTGGCTTGGATGTTGATAAGTTCCTGCAAATGTGAGAATAGTGTCCTTTTGTCTGCTAATGAAAGCGTTCTTTGACTGACTGCACTCCCTCTGTTGTGCGGCCTTGGAGTCCTCCTCCTCTGTAAACAGGAACAAAAATCCAAAGTGACCGAGTACTATTGTACTCAGTTTGTTCACTTGTCTTTTATTGGAACTACAACCCGATTGTTAGACACACTCAACTGTAAATATATAACTTCTTAAGTTTATAACACACCTCTGGCCTTCACACACAACAACAACGCCTCTTTACTTCTCAACTGACCTTCCTCATTTTTACGATACAGCTATATAAACATGTATCTTATTCTCATCCTGGCTCTGATTCAGGGTGCGGGTGTTTGACCTACGAGCTGGCTCTTCCGTGGCGTCCCTGTACGCCCACCACCTGGGTGTGACCTCGGTGCAGGCGGATGACTGGAAGATTGTGAGCGGCGGAGGCGAAGGATTGGTGTGTGTGTGGGAGATGAGGATGGGAGCCAAGCTGTGGGAGATGCACAACAGGTGGGATTTTCTTTCTTCCCTCTGATCCTCTGAGAGGAAATGTGAACTCAGAGCAACACAGGAAACATGTGAAGCATGCTTTTTTTTTTTGTAAAGGTGTTACATCTGTTTTTGTAATGGAACCTCTCACACATTACAGCTGTGAAGTGTGCCTTTAGGATTTAAGTCAATTAAAACACTAACAACAACACAAAGACAGGGATTGTAGATTTGTTCCTTCTTATTTTTGGTGTCTCATTTTTCCAAATTCAAGGTAAACTTAATTATCCCAGAGGGGCAATTTGCTTTTTGTGTGTATTTGTCTGAAATACACACAATTGACAATACATTACACACACCAAGGGGGCGTGTAATGTATTGTCAAATGTTTTGTCAAAATGCAAATAATCCAAATAAAGAAGAACGTTGTTACACGGCAACAAAGACAGGTTTAGGAGCCAATTTAGTTCACATCTACATCATCCCAATGAAGGAAAATGTCACTTTTCTCTGTTTACTGTTGTTCATTGATTTCAAAACTTAAACTCCATGTAACATTAGAGGGAAGACTCAGTGCAGTTTGTAACATTTTCACATTTTCTCCAGGAACCTTCCAAGCGTTTAAAGTAGGGATAAAAAAACATGTCTAAAATGTACGATTTTTTTTAAACTGAGGGTGTTTTTTTCTGCTGCAGGCATCCTGTGCGCCACGTACGCTTCAACACCAGCACCCTGGTAACAGCCAACATCCCTGATGACAAGTCACCACGGGGCGCCTGCATCACAGACGATGACCTTACAGCTCACCGCAGGTCACTGATCATCCTCCCACACTCATCCTCTTTTCTTCTCTTCTCTTCTCGGTTTTATAATTCAATGCATTCTTAGAACAAGTTTTATATTCAAGGAAATGTGCTTTTTATTATGGGAAAGTTAATTTCCCAAACACTGTACCACTTACAGTATGTCTGTAAAGTAATATGAAGATATAGCTAGCATATAGTTATCTTAATTTAGCATAAAACTGACCAAATCTGCCGACCAGAACTTCAACAGTGCACTCATTCTGGCAAATAAATAGTTTGGCACATAATAATAATAAGACAAACTAGATGTGAATTAGTGATGAGTGAGCTCTAGCTTTGCACATAGGCATTAAGAGGTATTCTAGCTAACCAACTTGAGCTTTGACTTTGAAAGTAGAGCTGCTTAAGTCTTCTCCCCGAACTCTTAACAACGTACAAATCAGAATACAACATATAACATGTTTGTTTTTTTTTGCCAAAGTTTTTACAGTAATGTTGCTAATAGGATGATGGTTATACTGATCATCCCATCTTTTCAAGCATCTATTTGGACAAGTTTTCAAAAGGTGAATCAAGTAAAATCTCTTTGGTTGCTGATACTGTTTTTCTCCTGCAGACATCGGGGAGTAATCTGCCATTATGACTTCTCTGAGGAGGCATTATCTCAGGATCACGTCCTACCCATCTGCAGGTCGGACTACACAGAGTCACACGGATACAACTACAACATCGGCCTGGCCGTTCCTTACGACAGTCTGTCCGGCTCCCATCCATCGCACTGACTCGCAGGTTTACAAACTGCAGCTGAACGGACAATAGAAATTGTTGACTAGCGATCGGTTTCATGCTCCAAACTGTATACTTTTTATCTTTCTGCTTTCCCTTTTGGTATTCCAAACAAATCACGCTGTCAGTGTATGGATGTTTTCTGTAATTATTTTTAAGGTAAATGATGCACAACGCACCAAAACAGTAAAATGATGACGTTTTTAAATGATGTTTGGATTCTTGGATTTGAATCAGTGTTGCGTTGCACAGCAAGAAAAAGTCATATTCCTACCACGACTCCAAAAAAGACAATTCATCGTACCTTTGTGAAGACTTTGTACCAAAAACAACAAAAAAAAAAAAAACTTACATCTGCTCTTTAAATCATGTTTATTTATTTTATTACTTTAAACAATTCAGTGCAAAACAGAAATTAGTGTAAGGGAAGATGTGTGTTTAAATTCCCCGATAGTGCTGAAAAATTATAGGAACATTTTTTTTTTTTTTTCCCAGAACAGTTGACTGTTTTGAGTCTCAGAGGAACAGTGAAGTAAACCTTACAACTATTCTAGAGCTGCAGAGGAATGGTATGCGCCCCAGTCTCCACTCTGGATGTCGGCCATAACAGATGACCCATGAATGCCAGAGCTGCCACTGACGATGACTGGCTGCATGTGAATCGTGAACCTCTTCACTAGAGTATAAAGAATCTTTCACAAAACAAGCTGGTTACACATTAAGTTTTGTAGAAAAGGAGGAGAAATCAGAGAGGTAGTGTGTTAGTTTGAAACCTGATTAAATGAGAAACAGATGTGTTTGAAACATGGGACACCAACTCCTTCATAGAGCACCATCTTGCCAAAAGTTCCACTGTATGAGGAGATTACAGCCCTTATTAGTATAAAAATACCATTACAGTATTAGATTAATGATTATTTTCCTCCGTCTAAAAATATATTAGTGCATATCAGAGTGTTTGGTTTTGATCCGTTTAAGGGCTGGAGAGTTTCTGCTAAAAACAGCAGCAACATAAACATCTTTTTACAAGAGCAGCTCCTTCAAGAGGTCGATTTCCCACAGCGCATTGTCGTGGTATCTACATCCAGAAAGCGAATGTGCATCCTAGACTCCATTTCTAGTCCTTTTAAGATCTAATGGAAGAGAACAACATGTTTTAAGTAAGAGATGAAGAAAAAAAAAAGTTGATGTTTTTTGAAGAGGTCGACCAAAAAGTTGTTAAAAGTGCAAACCTGCTCAAAATGCTCAAATGTAATTCCTTCATAGAAATCATCTGGAGCCTGCAACGACAGAGAGACAGATTCATCGGTTACTGTGCAGCAGAGATGTGAGAATTTTTTTTATCGTAACAGTTTTAGTTCTGCTTGGATCCATTACCATGTGGGGAACGTTTGTGCTCGCCACTTCCAACATGGCAGCATCTGCTATAGCTTTGGCAGCTTCCAGGCCCATGGCGCCGCTTTTAGACAGAAGCTCCTCCACCACCTTGGACGGGGAAAAAGGATTCAAGTCTTATTACGCTGATCAGAGTCGAGGAAACGTCAAACCTCAGCTACAGGAGGTCGACAGCAAGAGGGGTAATAATCAAAACTCAAAAATATCTGTATTAGTGAACTGTGCATGTACAGCGTACATATGTTCAGATTTTTCAACTCTTTGATGACTTCAGGAAAACAAAGCAAGTGCTAAATCAATTAATCAGTTAGAAATTAAAGTCTTGATTCATCTTTAGGTCTTTGTAAAGGTGAAATCAAGTTTTTTAAACAGTATTGGATATTTCATGATATCCAATCTTCAGATATTTTCCAACTCATTTTGGCCATTTGCCGATGCAGATATCCTTAAATGCAAATATTCTTTGACAACTTTGCTTAATTTCAAATTATAAAAGGTCCACACTACTAATTACTGTGCTGTGTCTGAGTGAGTACAAAGTGGCATTAGATCATCTGAACACTGAAAGGCTAGTTTTTGCATGTTGTTGAGCAGTTAACAACAGTTCTTAGTTTCACAAATGCACCGCTTATATTCTTATTCTAATTATATATTTATAAGACAGAAAATCACAGTCTGTCAGCTTGTTGTTGTGCTTTAATTGCCAGCTAATTACACCGGCAAGATCCACTGCACTCATTTAGGCTAATGATGTCTTTGTATGGTCGTTCACAGACTGTCTGATTCACTGTGCAAAATACTGTTTACACCTGTTCAGGTGTGACAACATGAACCTCCTCATTGTGATTGTATCTGGAGCATACCTCAACCTCAGCAAAATCATCAGTTAGAAAAGCAGTCAAGTATATAAGATTGCATTTATATTAAGACAATAAGATTATTGACATGTGTTTATTAGTATTTTTCAAATTATCCTGATCCAATTTAGATTGGCCAGAACAAATGGTCAGTTTATGTGTAAATGAAAAATGATATGGATCATACAATTAGAAAGGTTCATCTAAAATAATCACTAGTCGGGGCGCTGGTGGCCTAGTGCAGTGGTTCTCAACTGGTGGGGCCAAAATGGGGTTGCGGAAGTGTCATCAGTGGGTCATGAGCATGTGACTGAAAAAAACCTGACATTCTGTCTAGCGCTTTTCAAATCGTGTTACTTTCCGTCAGATGTTTTGCATCGTCTGAGGTAAAAAAATAAATAAAAACATTTGATGGAAGCTGCAAACTGCACCATTTTGCATTAATGCATTAAATAAATCTGATTGGTTTAAAAATATCCAAAATTTGGTTCGCTTTTTTTTCAGGGAGGAGTTGGTGGTGGGTCCCGAGGCTAGACTAGTTGAGAACCACTGGCCTAGTGGTTTAAATCCCGCAGCGCATGTGCAGAGACTTCAGTCCTCTAGGCGAGCGGCTCAGGTTCAAATCCGACCTGTGGCTCCTTTTGCGCATGACGTTCCTTACTATCTCTCTACCTGATCTCTATCCACCGTCACCGTATAGTGAAGTCTGAAAACCCCCTCATTTACTGTTTGTTTTATTTGGATCCTAACGAGAAGCTAATCTACATTTTACAAATTCATTTTACAATAATATATATATATATTATTCTTTTCACACTACACAAACATTCCACAACATTTCTTCTATAACTAAAAATAATAGACAATTTACATAAATGAACAAAAAAAACCACAAAAGAAACAGACAAACACAAAGGCTGCGTCTGATTTACAGCATCTAAGACATAACATGGTTACAGTTTTCCTACCTTCCTGTACTCCTCCAGGGTGATGGTGCCATCATTGTCTGTGTCGTGCATGTTGAACAGGACTAGAGAGAAAGAACAGAAGGCTTTAGTGGTAGGTCTGATTTCTAAGGACCTTTCTCTCATCATTTCAAAACAGGGCAGGATGTTACTGACAGAGCAGAGGAAGTCGTGATTAGAGGAATGTTTAGAAAGATGCAGAGATAAAAGAGTAGAATAACTAGGGGCTCCTAAGAGCTTAATCCTTTTTCTTTTATAAATTATAGGATTATTTCACATCATTGGGTAGTTGAACAAAAATTCCCGAGTTTCATTTCAGGTCTCTTCGGTAGAAGTGCTTTTTTTGCTTGAAAAGAGTGCTTTTCAAAACCTCCAATACTGCACAGGTGCAACACTTTTTATTGTTCATTATAGGACGGGCTCCATACATATTGCCTTTAAATAATATCAAAATATTAGTATCATACAAATCTCAAAATCAAAACATTTCCTCTTAATCAGGTTTTAAATGATAATTTTCTAGTCTTGAAAACACAACCAGTGTTTATTTGATTTGTGTTTTATGTTAACAGAGACTTATATTGTGGAGGGTTTTTAATAAGTCTGCTGAATGATATTCATGAGGACATCTTGTTATTTGAGAGGCAAAAAATCCTGTTTGTACACATTTCCTGTTTCTGTGGGAGTGAGGGGAGTTTGTCCCGTTATAACTTTTGTCCATTGTTGGCTCTCAAGAGCAGACCTGAACTATATACATATTATTATACTGTACAGGTTCAGTGAAGCTCTCTGCATGACTAAAACAAAGCAATCCAACTTGTTTGCATATCATCTACAGCTTTTTATTGGACAACTGAGGACACACCTTAATATTATCTAAACGCAACAGAAGCAATAGCCTCACGCTGCTTCAGTAAATATGCTTCAATTTGACTAACAAGAAATGTGTTGTTCAGTGTGGCCAGAGTCTTAACAAGTCTTGAGTTAGATTCCTCTCCACAATAAGGCCTCATGAACAAGATGCCATGCAGGCCCCCCTTCCAAGACCTTTATAGTTTTACTTATGAATACATTTATGATGATTTTGTGCTTAGAATTTGTTTTACCAACTACCTAAGAGGTCCCTTAGGGGACACATTCCCCAGACAGATACTGTTTTAAATCCAGCCCTGCTAACAGAAGATTTCCATCAGCCTCAATTTGGCGCTCTTTCTCTGGAGATTGTAAGAGTTATTCTGGGAAATGTAGGAAGAAACAAATCTCACAAAGAAGGCTGAGGGGAAGAAGGTAGAGCTCTTAAACTTAAGTTGAAGGTTCTTATGATCGTACGTAACAATACCATCTTTGACTGAATTTAGATTCCAGATTGATGGCTGAAATTATCTTGTTGGGTTTGTGAAGCTGTTGTTCTTTTAGTGATCACTTTTAAACCTCTCTAAGGTAGCAATGAATCCAGTGTTCATACAAGCAGCTTTGCTCTTTGTGGCATGTAAGGGTTGGTTTGAAAAAAAAAAAAAACTCACATCAGCAGAATATTTTTCTGGTATTTTTCTGTTGAAACACACAACAAGGAAGAAACAGAAGATAAATACTTGGTCCTAAATCCCCAGCTGGATTTCTGAGCATGTTGATCTTAACCAACAAGTATTTCTGGTTCTCTTGTTTCTATTCTTTTTCAGTTTCAAAATTAATTAAGGTGTCTTACAGCGAAGCTTCTCCTTCCTCAGAGCTTCCTTCTCTTCCTCTGTCGTCTTCAAGGTTGGAGGGCGGAAGTGGGACATGACCATGAGGAACTGCTCGAAGCCGATCTCCTCGAAGGAGCCCACCTCATCCTGATGCTGGTTTCTGGATGGCAGACAGAAGAAATCAAAGTTCAGCTAATGTGGCTTTTTTTTTTTTTTTTTACAGTCTACACCTCACACATTTTAAAGCATAATCCTCGCTTTACACAATACTTGGAATCTTCATTGAACAATTTGTAGTGTAGATTTAGGAAAAGGGAAATTTTGGCCCAAAAACATTGATAACATGTTTTACTGATCTTTCACTTCAGCCTCCCACTGTGTACATGACGAGTGTACTTGTAAGTCTGGTTGTGGTTAACTCTGTTAAGCAAGCCTTTCCAAAGTAAGAGGAAATGCAACTTTTAAAAAGTGTCTTTAAAGCTTTAAAATCTAAACTATTATTGACTTGAGTTAATGATGGATAATTTCCTTTTTTTGTTTTAACAAACTGCACTGCATTTGTGTTGGACATGGACTGAAAAACCACATTACCAGCCTTCTAAAGGCAATCAAGAATTTTCTAATGAATGTGATTAAATGGAATCGTTTCGGAGCCTGGGTGGCTGGCTCCAAAAGCCCCTGAAGTCTCACACACACCCAAATTAAAATGTGCATTTTAATACAGCAGACATAAACATTTGGGTCTACATAGCTCATGTCTTTAATGGCACAGTTTACAGGGGATGAATTTTCATATAACTTATCTGTTTTGAATATGAGAGTTATGCTTAAGAAGGGGCGTGGCTGAGTTGACTGACAGGAGGGTGCGTTGTAGCCAGGAGACTTAAGGCCCAACTCAGCTCCCTGCTTTTGCCAAGTGGTAGTTGACTAAAAGTTTGTTTGAGCCAGCATTTTTAATATGACGACCACCATCATTTGGCTTCAAGAGTCAGTATTAGAGAACCAATGGGTGATGTCCCTATGACTACACCAATGTTTATTAGCCACGTTGCATATGCATCTAGTGCCTTTTATTTTGTCAGTACTTGAATTGTGACAACCATCTTCTTTTTTGGTCCTTAAAGAATTGAGCTTAGAAGATTTAAATGTTGACACTCTGTTGTGGTACTTTTTGAAGGGATACCTCAATGTTAGGAGTTTAAGTAGATATGATCAGTGCCCCAGTTGGGCCAGCGCAGTTAAAAAAAAAAAAAAAAAAAAAAGTCAGGATCTGCTCCCGCCTGTAAGGTAAATATAAAGTGAACCACCAAGTTAGGTGAACCCACAGCTAGATTACAGTCATCTTATCTTTGCACTCAGACTGGCAGCAGGTAGTCTGACTCTGTTAGAAGGAAACAAAAAAAGCCCTCTGATATATCGACAGAAACACTAAGGTCCATATCTTCTATCAAACATAAATATTGACCTGCTATTTGAGGTTGAGAAATGTCCTTGCTAAGCCAGACTGACTGTTGATGAATTATGTATGCTGGAAATACTTTGAGACAAATCATATAGTAAGGGCTCAGTTTTAAAAAAGTGTTAGTATTACATTATAACAGCTTGTTTGAACAGTTGAACAACATTGACACTGACAGACAGCTGACGTCCAGCCACCACCATCGAGTCCGTCTCGTCACCAAAACCACCGCCGTCCTCATTCATGCACGGCCTGCTCCGACCTTCACCTCAGCGGCGTGGACAGTGCGGACAGCAGGAACGCGAGGAATACAAAGGAGAAATCCTTCCTGCATTTTATCCCATAATGCTCTTTTGTAAAGCGTCTCGAGATAACACTTGTTATGAATTGGCGCTATACAAACATTGACCAATTGATTGATAATATGAGGCGCATTAAAACTATACCCACCTTTTATCGAAGAAAGCGTAAACTATCTGCTTTTTGATTGGATTGTTGGCGAGGGCTGGTATTCTGTCCAAGTTTTCCTTACTGCAGTGAAGAAAAAACAGTGTCCTTTAGTACACAGCACATAGTGCAGAGTCAGCATGTTCAACACTTGACTGTTATTTATGGGAAGTTACATGAACAGTAACACTACCCGAAGAAATAAGTGCAATGTTCAACATTTGTTCCTTGTTTCTTTTTAAAGGGAAGGAACTGATCATCGATCACAAACAGCTTGACATTTTGGCAGTTGTGTGTGTGTGTGCGCGTGTGTGCATGGTGGATCGACATATTGTATTTGCCCATGTCACCACATGTTGCTTGCTTGTGTCGGTGCCAGAGATACCAGAAATACCCACAATTCATCACTCCAGCCACCATGCATGCAGGGAGTATTTCATCTTCAGTGCAATGACTGAATGGTTTTTCTTAAGAAAAAAAAACAACAACAAACATTCACCTGTCCAGCAGAGATTTGACACACAAACATATTTTACCTTATCGTTTCTTCATTTCCACTCAGGTGCTGGAATCTTTTGTGAAGGTTTTTAATCTGCTCCAGTGAAACTGAGAAGCGAAACACAAACAACAACAGCAACATTAAAGTATACAGTGTACACCTGTTATTAGTCCACACCCATAAACCGGCCTCCTGCACTCCTTCTGTTGTTTATAATGGAAGCCCAACATAATGAATGCTCGCAGTTGAATGGAAAAGATCACACTCTGCGCAGTAGTAGCATTGACTTTTTTTTATGCCATTTAAGGAGGGTTCCTTAAATCATTAACTAACTGTATAGACTTGTGACCGTGTGCTGAAAGATAAAAACATCATAGTCCTTCCTGGTCCCATAAAAAGATAGATTTGACATTTTCAAGTGTTTCCACAAACAGCCGTGTATGTTTTTTATTTTTACCCCTTTCTCAGAAGCTGCCAAGTGGATGTTTGCACTAGCAACAGCAGTTGCTGAACATGGGGTCAAGAATATTCAGAGGAGGATTTAAGCATGCAGAAACAAGTGGGCTGTTGTGTTATAGGACCAGATACAGATTTAATACAAAATGTACTAAAATAACTCAGGTATATTATCCAGATCAACAAAAAAAACATCAGATTCTGTGCTCCTCTAACAATAAAAATGTCCAAATGCAATGACACATTTCACCAGAGTGCCTCAGAACATTCATGTTCAAAAAACCTCAAACTACGCCTACGGATAAATAAGGTCAACGCTGCGCCTTCAGTGAACAATAAAGGTGATGACACAGTTCAAAGTCTCACCAATACAATATCAATAAAATTGTGTTCAGCCTGGGATTCAAACATTTCTGTCTACATTACTCTGCATACAAAAGTTTCACATGAAGACCCTGCTGCTCTTCTTAATAAACCCTTCTGCTGTTTCACTCTGACTTTTGTTTCATTTCTTTATCAAACTGTTCCACATCCAAGAGTTAACAGAATAGAGAGGGGGGGGGGGTTATGGTCCGTGTACGACCAACAAAGTGTTTACAGCAGTTGGACCAAAACCACAGCACAGATATAAACTCAACACGCAGTCCGCAAAGTGAAGAAGTATTAATAGATAACGTTAACTCAAACTTTGGTGCTGCTTGTTCATAAAATGTGTGGCTGTAAATTACTGCATTATTGTCAGACTTGAACATCAATTAATTATCCATAAGGAAAAAAAAACATATTCCGGTGTTATCCGGAAAGATTTAAATGTTTCTAGTTTGTCTTTCATTTCTCTTAAACTACTCCACACACCACCGCACGTGCGCCTCTAAACTAAGCGATTTAACATCAAGAGGTTCCTCATAGTCAAAAAAAAAAAAAAAAAAAAAAAAAAAAATCCCTGTTACTTTTCCCTACTTACATCCCGTCCTGTCCACCAGGTCCTGGTACTTGTGCACGGAGCGCGTCTGCGAAGCTCCCATCGCTGCTGCTTGCTGCTGATGCCTGCGCGTCAGGACACACAATCTGGTTCAACCGGCTCTACTTTCCTTCACTTACTTGCGCTCCTATCAGCAGGTCGACGCAACTGTAGTCTGCCTGCGTCCCTGGAAACATCTGGCATCCTCAAGGTCCTAAATCCTTACAGAGGCTGTGGAGAAATTACCTGCTCCGTCTCCGGTTTAACTGCTGTAAATCGTGGTTAATATGTTACATCACAATAAGGAACCAATGCGCTCATAAGTAATGAAACAAGCTAGAAAAAAAAAAAAAAAAAAAAAAAAAAAACTTGAAACGCTTTATTTTTATTTTTTTTGTAAGTTAGGGTCATTTCCGTTTCAAGTCAGCAGTGTTCTTCAGTATTTTCCTTGAACAACACTGAAGAGCTTTGACATCCTACATGTTTCACTTGTAAATGTACAGAAAAAGAAACAAAAAAACAAGATTATCTACAACTGTGAACGCTGGACTTTATAAGTGCATGGAACTTTAAAAGATGGAGGAATAAAAGCAAATATACAAAGATTTTTTCATCATTGTCTTTTATGTGGCACTGTTACTGTATTTGAGGGGTTTTGGACTATATGCTGAGGGGCTTGTTTGTCTAGTGCTGTGTGCAGGGTATTGTTAGTTTCAGGTAAAGGGAGATAGATTTACAGCACCTGAACACCCATTCTGAACTCACTCTTCGACTTGACTCTTTAATTCGGGAATTCTCTGTTATTTTCCTTGCAGTCTGCTCTTCTCAAAATTATGTTTCACTTTCCAAACTCAGCTTTGTGAAGGGATGTGAAGGTCCTGCATCGTTGTTAAAATACTGTCAACTAGCTATGCCATTCCGTAGTTTCTGCTTTGTTTTCACAACAAATACAATGTGGTATTTATATTGATGCAGTAGTCAAATTTACTGCATGTTTCTGGACTTTTCCAAGCATGGAAATATTAAATGAAATCCTTCCACTCCTGCGCAGGAGCACGGCTTAGGTGATTTGTGAATACTTCCTTCATTTGCTGGAAAATACTGCTTCCTGGGTAATTTGCTCAAAAACTCTCAGAGCCACTTAGCCAAGTCGGATAGTGAATTGAGAATGGATGAGCAGTGATTTGTTAGTCTGGGTGTTGGGGCACAACTGCTTTGCTACATGGGCATGGCTTGGTGGTCGTTTTGGTCTGTGGCCGAAGCCTGGTCCTGGTCCACGCAGCCAGGTGTGAGTCTGTGGTAAAGCTCCTGCACCGTGCCCAAAGTCTCAACCATGTCCTCGGGGTATCGTGTCTGCAGCTCTTCGTTGGCAGCGTAGTGGGTGTCGGCGAACTCTGAGAAGTAACGTCCCACCTCCGGGTGGCCGATCTCCAGGGGGGCTGAGTGGGGCTCCAGGTTCTCTGAGGAACAACGATGGAGAAGTGTGACACTGATCAGAGATGATGAAGTCTAGTTTACATAAATAAGTTCGACTGAGGAGAGGAAGAAGGGATTTTTTTTTTAAACATTACACTCCCTGCCATTATTATTGAACATACACTACTGATGCTAAGTTTATAATGATGTGTAAAATGTTATTTACTGATGCATTAGAGTTCAATAAAAGCAGAAGTAGCAGGATCAGTAGACTGAGGCCAAATTCCAAACTCTCTCAGACTCTCAGAGTTTGAGGTGTTTCCACTAAGTGTGTGTGAGCGCCTCGTGCTGTCCCACCCAAACCATCAAGTACACCTGGGCTCTTACGAAGACTCTACAACGACAAATTATGTATTTTATGAGGGTCCATATTTCTGCAGACTTTCCAGAGGGACTTACCCAGAGTTCATTGCAAACTTTTTGACTTGAAAGATGTGATACCCTAGCCCCAAACTAAATGTTATCAAATGTTGTATATTTAAGTAGTATTCAATAAAAAAAAGTTTGAACATACAAATGTAAACGAAACCAAGTGTGATGGGGAAAACTGGAAGGATTTTACCCCTGAGTGACGACATGTAGGTTAATCAAAAATGTACATATAAAGTTTATTGCATCATAAAAGTGTTTCCTAGCATTCCTAGGATTGTGAACTTGTATCTAGTTTTCTGTGAGATTGCAGCAAACATTATTATGAAGTTTGTGACTCTGACAAGTGATTATTTAATTTTCTGTATCTTGATTTATTTCAGTATTGTGCCTGGAGGATGCAATTATAAATTATTGCCCGTATTTGGGATGTTTTTTTTAGACTGTGTGGTCACACAACCAGACACATTCGACAACCATTGAGATATCTTATATATTATCATCAAACTAACCCTGTGCTGCATAGCGACACGTTCCGTCCTGGACGAGGACGTTGTAGAAAGGCTGGTTGGCCCCATTGGACAGCTGGTGGACCCTCATGGTGGTGATCCACTCCTGGCTCATGGTGCACTTTGGGTCCCAGCCGTAGATCACACAGTTGTAACCTGACCTGATGAAGGAGACAGAACAAGAGAGATTTATGAGGATTCTTAAGGATGGTTGTATTAACTGAGAAAAGAACCACTGTAGTGCATGCTAGCCTGACCTACCTCTTGTGTTTCATGATGAGGCCCACTGAATACTGGACTTCCAGGTGGTCTGGAACACTCCGCTTCTTCACCTCAGGTGTGACGGGATGTTTCTTGTGCTGAATGTGCTCCAGCGTGTGCTGCACCAGGTAACCCACGGCCCCATGCTGGGACGGATCCAATGCCTGGATGTGCTGCAAGATGTCTAACACCTGAGAGAGAGGATTACATCAACAGACAATGTGCTAATTTAAGAGGGCTGAACAGTGAGGGCCTTGTACTGTGTAATTATTAAGTCTTTATGAATTGAATCCCATTTGAGCACAAGAAGAAAGCCTTTGTGTGATCTGACCTTTTCTGGCCAGATGCCCAGGTGGAAGTAGAGGCGAGCCTGCAACAGCAGGTACTGCACATTATCTGGATTGATAGTGAGGTAGAGATCCAGAGAGTCTCTCAGCAGCTGGTAGGATTTCTCGTTCCCCTCCCTGAGAGAAACAAAACAGGACAGATGATGTTATTAAAAGAGAGCATTACATTCATGTACACATTTAATTGTATCAACCATTTAATGCATTCAAATTCTATTGATTACATTTTTTAGAAAACACAACAACATTCCCATGCCTAAACCATTCACTGTTGTAAGTTGTGAGAGTCACATGTGCAGTATCTCTCACCCTCTTTTGCCGATGTTCAGCAGGTTTCCCACCATCCTTAGCAGCACCTCTGAGGTGCTGATGGCACTGTAGTAGTCTGCTGTCACCTGGTGGCCAATGAGATACTCACACTCCTTGGCTGTCAACTGTTTGCCTTTACCAAAGGCATCGATGTAGACAAAGTCATAGATGTCCTCACTCCTGCGGGAGCAGAGTTCAATTAAAGTCACATTTGAATATATTCAACAGTTATCCATCGCATTGGCCTGTTTTAATGAGAAAGACCGGATAAGGCATACTGCATCAAAATTCAAACAAATACAATGCAAACAGAGGGCATTTAAATTAAACATGTAAAATATAAATATTCTTTTTTGATCCTTTACCAAAAGTACAAACGCAATGCATTATTAAAAGAGTTATAGCAACAACAAATCTACCCTGCATTCAGTTTGAAACAATTTTGGTTTTACAATCAGAGAAAGGATTTCATCATTATGGACACTGAGAGCAGAACTTGTTTGAATACCACTTGAAAATTAAATCTTAGGAGGGAGGAGTCATGGTCTTTAAATGTTCATTATGAGCTTATAAGACAGAATGTAAATGTGGAAGTGTCACTAATATTTCTCTTTTTGTATATAGTTGTATATTTCTCCACTTTATACTTTTGTTTTTGCCACTTAAACTTTCATTTTAAAATAACCTTTAATTGAATTGAATGTGTGATTAATAATGCCAGCAGTCAGTTATGATCTCAATCTATAACGTGCATCAAATTGATACAATGACGTAAAACAGTGAGATTATTGAAATAGTTGCTAACTAATAATTCAAGTTGAACTTTTCTCCTCCTGAAATGAGGAGCTATGAGGAAAAAAACAGCTCAACTCTAAGACAGCCCAAAGAGACTTTAAGAAAAAAGGTTTTTACCCTCTTGGCTTTTGGCACCAACGCAGCAGAAAATGATTGGGGAAGTTGACAGGTTCCAGCTGAACACCCAGCTTCATGGCTAATGTCATGTAGAGAACAGAGAGGCTGATGGGAATGCCTGTACGGCGTTGTAGCACCTGAATGAAACAAAGGAATAAATGGTAAATGTCTGAAATAGAAATAATGTAAATTATTGAAAAGGTTTGTGACTTAAATACAGAATTTTAAAGAAGATCTACCTGGTGGATGTATGAATTGAGGGGGTTGTAGTAGTCAAACTCGTTGCCTTTGAACTGAAGCTGCTCATACAAGACAGAGTTCAGCGCACACACCACCTGCCTCTGGAGCTCAAAGTCCTCCACTACTAAACAGTCACCTAAGTCATACACAAGAAATCACACTTCAGAGAAACGCGGCACGGGACAATGTGTCAACAGCACAAGAGCCATATTTTCCATCCAGGCCAAAATGTACGAGTATAGATCGTTTTCAAACTGTGCTGGGAATAGTACCCCATGCCTTTTGGCTTTAAGTATCTACTGTAGTGCTGATGCATTTTGGAGAAAAACTTTTGAAAAGATGAGAAAATAAAATACAACATATGCAAAAAAAAAAAGACCTTTACAATAAGGTTTTCGTTGGTTTGACAGCCCACCTTGAGCGATGCGTAGGCTGGGGTGAGAGGAGTTCTTGATTCTCAGCATCTTCTTCACTTTGTCTGCAATCTCATCCAGCTGGGCCGATATGCTGCTCACTGTTACATCAGTCAGAGGGTTACAATACTGATCCACCAGAACAGCACCTGGAGGAGTGGACAAGACCGAGAGAAAGGAATTCATAATATGAACCTGCTTGTATGTACTTATGATTTCAAATGACTGTAGAAACAAATTAGAATGAACACTTAAGAGCACAAAATACACAGTGTTCAGGGCTGATGCTTACTTTCCCATTAATGATTTTTTTTGACATGATTCTAAGTATTGTTTCAGAGGAAATGTGCTGGTAACAACTTCCCAGAGACTAAAGTGAGGTCTCTAAATCACTTCCTTTGTACAAAAAAAATCCAGTCTGAAACCTAAAAGATGTGTATGAAGTATCAGAGTGGGAATTTTTCTGGCACAACTTCGCCAACTACCAAGGTGCATGAAGAGTGAAAGGCTTGAAGAGGTTAAAAAGCTCGAGCACTTGTAGTGCTCCAAGATCAACTTTATTCCAACTACAAGTGTTGCTGGAGCTTTATGCAGTAACATAGCATAGTGTTACATGAGTGTTTTGACCTGAGGCCTAGTCCTTTCTCACCCCCTAAAGCAGATTGCTGCTCCACAGGCTGCTCCAGGAAGCTCTTCAAACTCTTCAGGATGTTCTGCTGTCTCAGGAAGTAAAGGATTTTCTTTGCATAGTACTTCAGCGTCAGGCTTTTCCTAATGATGAAACACAACAGAGGAGAGAATCATTAACTGCTGTGCAACACAACATGAGCTCTTATAATCACTAACCTGTCGATGACTGCAAAACACGTCGAGAGTCCGGTACTGGAGGTTTAATCAAGGTGGGCACAATGTTGCTCTCACCTCTTGTCTGAGTTGAGGATGAAGAGGAGCTCGTCTTCACAGAAGTGCTCCGGCATTCCGAGTGACTCAATCTCTGCAAAGCTGTCTCCAAGCACCTGGCCAACGCAAGGCTGATTTACAGATCTCGGGGTTAGTTTTGGAACATAGAAAGCTCACATTGTCCTGCACTGAATCCCTCCCACACACACAGACCACAAACACATTAAAAGATAGTACACACAAAAGGTCAGTTATACCACACAGATAGTTTTTTTTTTTCTTTTTCCAAATGGTACATCTCTATAAGAAAATGTGTATTTAACTTATTCAAATAACTAAACAATAAATGTTATTATTCTGTCACATCTATTTCATGTTATGTCCAGGTTAATATTACAATAACAACAACATATCCTTGACAACTAGCCAACTACTTACAACTTCAGTGAAAAATCTCTTTGAGATTGACTCCACAGTCCTTTGTATTTGTATACCAACTCTATGGCGTGTTTTGTATTCTCTGAGCCAGTCACAGCACTCGTTCTGGCGGTAAAACCTCTGCAGTCTTGGCCATCTGTTAATGAAGGCGATAAAAAAATAGTACATTAGTTACATATTGCAAACATACAGTGATTATTTTAACTGTTATGGCCACTGCAATATGATTCGGAAATGAGCATAAAAATACATTTTTCAGTAAAAATATGTTTGAAATCAGTGTGTGTGCATCAAACAGACTAGACATGTTTTATTCTAAAAAAAAGATCTATATGCCAAGACGGCTCTGCAACAACTGCTGCAAGCCATTTTTTCCTCACATGACTCCTTTTAGTTTTACAGCCTGTGGCCCCGAGCTGTGAATGCAAACAATGTCCATCAAACAATCCATAATCCTGACGGTTTTCTCTTTCCACATTTAATAGTAAGCAGGAGAGAAAAAAAAAAAAACAGCCAAAACAAGCCAGGAGGAGGGCTCAGGCTTTGGCAAGAGCTGCACTCTGCTGTAGTTCACAGGCTACATGAAACATTCAAGGTCACACCGGATTCATTTCTGGCTGTGCTGTGTAAATTGGAGGATAAGTTTCAACCTGTGAGAGATGTATTACACGCAGAGATCTTCAAGCCTCAGACTTCTGTGCAGAGCAGAAGCTCGCCACTGGCCTGGTGTAATGATGCATTTGGTGCATCAGCAGATTGCAATGGTTGACAGGGCGATGCGTTCGCACTTAACCAACCAACCCTTAGGTACACATAGAGCGGCACAGGGCTATAAACCACAGTCATTTAAAGAAACGCCGATCTTGCTGATAGTGATGCGAAAACACACAGATGCCAAAACTCCGAAATACCACAAGAAAAATCATAGCACCTGAGTTTGTACTGGTGTCCCCAGACCTTTCCCCTTCCATGGCACACGTCGTGCAGCCGCTTGCAGCAACAGGACACGTTACAAATGTCGACATGTTGGAGGACAGGGAAGCACAAGATGTGTTCGAGCAACTCGGTTGGCAGGTCTGTTAGATTTTTAGTTTGGGGGTTGGTATTAATTCCGTTTAGACTTGGTTGCCCCTCTCCGGCTACCGACGTCGCCATTTTTACTGTTTACCCCGATTACCTCATTGCTCGGGCCCCGCCCCTTTATGGCGCAGGGGGCAGAGCTGAGGGCGGGGCTAAGGAGCTGGAGTGCAGTGCGATTGGTTGTTGGGTCATGAGGGGAAAAGGACGCTATGCTGCCTTCATGTTCTTGGGAACATTTTTTTTTTTAACTTCATAGTTTAAGGTTTAGGTTACATTACTTTACAAAAGAGGTACACCGTAGGTTCTTTATCAGTTAAAATAGTCGAAAACTAGAAATAAGTTCTATGTCGGAGACGATTTGATTTTTCAATAATCGTAAAAAAAAAAAAAAGTTAATCTTATAATAGTGTTATTACAATATTATGGACAGAACGTGAATGCAGCATCGCTTTCCCAGTTGAGATAACAAGGCAACAAATGGTTAGCAGCCAGTTAGCAAGCGTTTCTTTCTCAGGAAAGTGTTTGTACAACAACTTCAGAGTTTTCAGCTCTTTTAGAGGAACCTGACGCGGAGACGGATATTGCGATGTACACACGTAATGCTATTACTTTAACAGCAGACAATGGTTTATGTTATTCTGTATGTTTTTGTTAGCCCACTCAGTCTCTAGTTAACTTAATGCAAGTTCACGTTGGCAGGAAGCCAGCAACAGGACACTTTTGTATCTGCTCATGCTCTCAGTATTTGTTAATTCTGTATGTGGCTGTGTGAAAATTACAAAGACTGCCATATGATAAATTAAGTGCATGACATATTCTTAAACAGATGTTAGCCTCCTCGTTAACTTTCATGGAGCTTCCTCTTGCACATCTATCCATCGATAGTAAACAGTGCTGGGCAATCACATGCACCTTTTTCTTTTTTCGTTTGACAACTAAACTATACCACAATCTACGCCACAGGGTAAAGTTGTCACAATGCTTTGATGCTACACACAGTTTGTAGGAATTGACGACTTTGTCTGGTTTAAAAAAAAAAAAAAGTGAGTTTACAACACTATTCACCATGGCAAGTGCCTTAGCAGCAAAAATGGGATTTAACTCACTGTTGCGACGACAAGCCAGGACCTTTAACGTCAGGATCTGCACGATGGAGTCAGACATGGAGTTCAGCTGCGAGGTGTGTATGTGTATCTGAGAAAACTGCACATTTACATCTCTGTTAATTAAGTTTTTCAAAATTGCACTGGCCTTGAACGCACCATCAGATGCACGCAGGAGTTCTCGTATTGAACGTGTCATTAATTGCCATTTCTTTGTAATGCAAATACGAACTGATCGTTATCTGCAATGATCTCTGAAATATTTGTATAAAATATTATTCAGGCGAAAAGTACAGATTGCACAGAAGACAGGCTGTGAGAGTTTCATTTTTTCTACACAAGATGGCAGCAGGTAACAATGTACAGACTCTATTGGTGTGGTTAGTCTACTCTACAGATTTTCACTATTATAATTTCTATCTGTCTCATATTGAAGTGGAATCAGTGGCACATCTGAAAACACTACAGAACTTGACGATTGCTGTGTGAATAGACTATAAACACCACACTGATGTATTATGTTATCATTATACATGTGGTATTTTTAGCTGTCTCCTAGTCCGTTTGGGTAAGTATATGACTTGGTTGATGCTTTACCACAACTAAAAGGCGTGCAGTTCCTTGCAGACACCACATCTGTATTTAATGGGGAGGAACCCTCTAAAGTTTGCAGTGGTAATTACACAGTGCAGCATATTGTTGGATGCTGGTTTCTAATTTCTGTGCTGGGTGGTAATTGTTATCAATTATGTTTTTTTTTTTTGTAAATAACATTTAAGGGCACTTGATTGTATAGACAAAATGGCTTGGTTTTAGTTGTCATTTTACGTGCAAGATAGAAACTCAAGTTCTTGCAAGGTCACTAATCTTAAACTAGAAGTTGGCAATGATAAGATATTGGATGCATGTGTTTGATAGGCGTCAGCTGCAATAGGAAAATATGCATTATGCTTTTAAGCAGTGGCTGAGTATAAGCTGGAAATGTTGACAGAATGCAGTAGACCAAGAAGGTAATAAATGGGTATTAATATTAAACCTAAAAAAGAATAAAGTGCTTATCTTTGGCAGATTTATACACATTATCAGCAGTTAGTGATGATTTACAATGAATTATTAAGCTCTCTGTTTTGATGGTGAGCGAAACATTTCTGGTGTTTCAGGTCAAGTGGAAAGGAAAAGACCTTTTTGACCAAGTGTGCCGGACTCTGGGACTCAGGGAGACTTGGTTTTTCGGGCTCCAGTACAGCATCAAAGATACGGTTGCTTGGCTCAAGATGGAAAAAAAGGTGTGTGGTTGGTCCTCATAATATTCTGTTTTTGAAACAGTCATGAAAATGTGAAAGCCATGTCAAAAAGTTGAATTCAGAAGTGAAAAGGGAAATGTCATTTTCCGGCTGTATGAATGTGGATTTCTTTGGTTTATTTATCACAGGTTCTGGATCAGGAGGTACCGAAGGAGGAACCAATCACACTTTACTTCCTAGCCAAGTTTTACCCTGAAAATGCTGAAGAGGAGCTAGTGCAAGACATCACACAGCATCTCTTCTTCTTACAGGTAATAATAATCAGATGTTTTGTCACTGAGCTCATAGAAGAGTTTTTTCTTTCTATTCCCAGCTTAAAAGGCTTGAATCACTGCATCCACTGAAATCTACAACTCTAGATTGTTCTTTAGGCTCTGGATAACTCTAGAGATTTGACCTTCTCTTTCAGTTATACCTATGATGCCATATATGCGACTAAAGAAGTGCACTTATACCGTACTGACTGACACATTCTTTCTGCTGCATGTTGAAAGTTTGAAGGGGGGGGGGGCAGGTAGACCTGAAATTCAACATGCCTCTCTGAAGAAGCTTCAGATTACTCTCCTGCTAATTTACAGCTTTTTGTTTATTTTAAACCTGTTTTGTTGATGAGCATCTCTTAAGACTTTAAAAAAGAAATTCTAAGTATGTGTGGAGTAGCAACATGATATGAACGAGAAAAAGACGAGTCAAAGTTAAGGCTTAAAAAAAACAATTATGTGCTGACATATTTTACTTGAAAGTCTTTTAAAATGCGGTGTGAATTTAAAAACACCAAATTGCCCTCACTCGCGGCTCAGTGGGGGCCGATTGGCTGCAACTGCGTCTTTCTGACAAATCTGATCCAGTGCCAACAGGGGGCACGCAACCACAGACATTGTGACGAGTTGTCCAGGCAGAGCGCTCTCTAATACACTTGTGCCCTGGCCTCATTGTGTGCAGCCATGTGGAATCAATGCACAACATATTACCGCTGCCCTTTCTCCCCGGTTAATACTCCGCGGGGAATTCTTGCCGAGGCGACCGCACCACTCAAGAGATGAGATTTGTTACCGTGTGCTGGCATCGTTCATTGCTGCAAGCCACATTTATCAATTACCAATTAGGCTTTAAGGGGCTCAGTTATTGGCCCAGTTAATGACATATTCTCCATGGGATTCTTGTCTCCTGTCACATCCGTCCCATTGTGGCTGCTTTAGTGATATGGCTGTAGACAGAGCTAGTGGACCCCAACATTTGGATAGAGACACTTATCTACTTAATACTTAGAAAAAAGTCTCTCCGTGTCCCTAATCCATTTAGGACTAGTCCAAGTAATTCTTCATCTCAGGAGGAAACCTTGCTATAAAAAAAAAAAGAAGAAGAGTAAGGCCGACAAATGACTCAGTTAAAGTGGTACACAGCGACAAGGGGAGAAGAATACAAATGTGCAGCACCTCGCATCGCCTGTCTCCTTATTACTCTGCTCTCATTAATTCACATAATGTCTGGAGCTGGCCTCTGTTCAGATAATGTCACCGGCATGACAGCTGGATTAGTGCTTATCAGAAATGATCACCGACCCGGATACACACACACACACACACACACACAACACACATATACGCACACACAAAGCCCCCACTTACACCAACACACACATGCACGTCTTCTTCATTTGAAATCTTGGCAGCGACATGGTCTCATTTGTAAACCTGATTGCAGCTCGGCAGTCGCCACAGTTAGGGGCTGTCACCTTTTGGCTCCACACCTTTGTTGGTTCAAAACAAGAGAAGATAGCACGACTGGCTTTGCAAATACTAAAGTTTATAACACATTAAATTGCCCTCTTCCATGCTTGGGCTGTAAGCGTGTTTTCACGGTCTAACCTTACTATCTGGCGTTTTGCTCTGCATGTCGTTTCGGCAAGTTTGGCAGGTGAGTGAGCTCTGGTGAGACGTAGCCCTTTAATCTGCAGGGAGCTTGTTTAAGGGGATTGCCACTTTCTTTTTAGGGATTCATGTTATTTCTGTGATCCGTGACAGTTGAGTCAACTGGCTGAGCATCAAGCCCCTTTTTCTCCAAAACCTATAAACTGGAGGCCCAAACCTGGAATTTGTCAGTCTTTCTGACTCACGCAGATTCACACACATAGAGTCAGCTGTCCTGCGGGTACAGAAAAAGAAACATGAATTATATAGGAATGGGTGGCGCTCCACTTTAATTATGATTTGGGGCTTTTCTCGGTCTCACACATTTCTGTCATGTTATTATGCTCTGCTGACTTGCAGGCATGGAGCAGCTTAACGATCATGTGAACTAATGTTGACTTGGGTTACTGTAGAGCTTCTGGCTCTGCATTTAATAGGTCCCTGTGTGGCTATGATACCCAAGTCCAACAGTATTTATTCAGCAGAGTTTGCCCAGTTCCAGGACCTCTCTGAAAAGTGAAAGTACCAGCACACAGTTTAAGAAGTAGCTAGAAGTTTATGTTTAATTTAAAAAAAAAAGAAAAACGATAAGGACAGCGCTCCAACTTTTGTATTTTATTATTATCATTATTTATTAACAAGAAGTTGTGGCTTCCAAAAGCTAGAACCTGAATGCTGTGCTTTAACAAACACACAGGCTGCCAAAAGTTCAGGATATCAGAAGCAAAGCTGGGTGTCACTTTTCTCTCTTCTTTTCATTGTGTTTGAGTCAAGTGGGATCAGCTGTCAATCAGATTCAAAGAGATTTGACGCTCAAACTGAAGACAAAAATTAGTTTTCCTGATTTATATCAGTGATCATAAATTCCTCTCAAACACAGCCTAACTGGATCTTTCTTCAGTTGGAAAGAAAAACCCATTCTCCACTTATTTAACAAATACTGATATGACACAGAATATACATTTGCCAGTCTTTTTTCTATTGAGAAATGATTTTGTTTTTGTGTGTTAGAAAGGCTTGCTGCAATCAAGAGGGTTCTGCTATTTAGACGGATGCATGCATAGCAAAAATAGCCGGGCCTCAAAGATGATTATATTTGGTTATCCTCAGGTGAAGAGGAAGATCCTGGAGGAGGAGATTCACTGTCCACCCGAGGCCTCTGTGCTGCTGGCCTCCTACGCCGTCCATGCTAAGGTAAGTGCTGGTTTTTACTCATGATGTTATTGTCAGTTATATTCAGATGAGGTCAGGCCAAACATCCATCCACTCCTCTGTGCATTGTATATTAGTTTATTTTACTTTTATTAATAACTGGAATGACCGTAAAAATCCACCTGCTTAGGCCTGTTTATGTATTCATGATTTTTTTTTTTGTATCCTATCGAACTGTATTGTATCTTATTATTTTGAATGCCTCTCATCATTTCACAAGTGATGTTAATCATTAGCTACAAATATCAACTTTCTGTCACTGCAATGAAGAGTGCAATAGTTTGATAGAAAAGCAGTGTAGACGTAGATACTTGACATCATTCAGAGGATTTGGGTCCCATCCAAGCAGAGGAGCTACTTTTGAAACAAGTTAAAACAATAACTAAATCCAGGAAACATAATAGAACTTCAATTGTTTAGAACTAATCCGTCTAAGCCGTCACAAATCAGCACACAACACAGCTGAAGTTCTGTCTTAAGCTAGTTTTGTAAAAGGTCCTTTAAAATCACTTCACTGTTGCATTGATTACTATGGACAGAGGTGCTGTTTGCCCCCCCCCAACAGCTGATAAACTTTAAACCACAGCATTGCCTCAAAATCTGCAAATTTTGCAATGGAAGTAGGAAACCTCCCCAAGTGGGAGGGGATTCCTTCTGATAGCACTCACACTCAATGCCCTGCTAAGCTTTGCATGCATTATTGCTGTGAAAACAAAAAATGTCAATGAAGGAAAAATAAGAGGAATTATCTGTCTGGGAGTGATCAAAGAGTCACTGCATGAAATACCTTTCAGGGTCGAAACCTTTGCGTCCCGACAGATCTGCAGCTATCAGGAAAATGTCCTGTATTAACTATGCTGTCTATGGATGAAGTGTAACTGCTGAGAAAAGGAAAGTTGTCAGTTTTCCTGAAGGCTACAAAGCAATAACTGCTGCAGTAGAGTGTACATCGCACCAAACTGTTTTATCTGTCAGTATGATGTCAAGTATGTTCAACCCCTCAGTTCTAGCAAAGAACTCTGGATATCGACTGTAGGAAAATATGACGTTGAGGTCGAAGTGTCTAAAATTAGCTTATTTTGCAGGCGGTATCAAACTGGATTGTTCTGTATCAAAAAGGTCTGCTGTGAAGTTATTGACTCACATGTTCACCTGACGTCAATGGAAAATCACTCTACAGGTAGAAGCTCCCTTAATAAACCTAGAGCGATCTGAGTCGTCTTGGTTGAAAGATCCCATCTCACTGAAATCCACACAGAGAAAAAAAAAAAATAGGGAGAGTGAGGTGCAGCTTTTTGACAGGCGGACAAGGTCTAGTGAGACCGGAGCTTTACCTCAAAGGTTTGTCCAAGAGCCTTCAGAGACTCGCATATCCCATGCCAATTTAATCCCGGTATAGGTTTAAAGAGGGTGTGAGGATACGGAAAAGTCAGCAAATGAGCTTGAGACTTTTGCCCCCTGCTGTCAGCGCCCCACGATCTGGAAGCACCAGACAATACGGGACCACAATCTGTTGTCCTTTAATCAGCGGTCCTCTTTGATTAGAGCCGGTATGAGGTAGTTGTCGTCGTAATGGGGAGACAGGTACTTGTTTAGCAGCTGCTGAGAGCTGTTTGGCAGACTTTTTTTTCCCCCCCTCTCCTTCTCTCTCATCGTGAGCTGTTTTTTTTTTTTTTTTTTTTTTTTTTTGTAGAACCACCCATGAGGTTGAGAATATAACACAGTGGGATCAAATTTGGTAACGTCGCTCATCTCTAATCATGACAGTGCCTGCCTGAAATTTGAAAAAATGCCATCTTGTACTCCAAGATGGCATCAATGCTTTGAAGGGATTTTTTTCAAAATGATGTGAATCACAGCTCTGCTCAGGTACATGGAGGTTTACTAGAATTCTGTGTTTTTCATCTGTTTCCAGTTGGAGTGAAAAGGGGCATTAAATCTGTGACAATCACAGAAAAAAGCCATCAAAGCGACTATTCCTTGTTTATGTTACAGACAGTTTGTAAAAAGAGAGAATAATAAAGGTAAAAATAACAGAGAAGCTTCAAAACTGCTCTGACTGGTTTCTTTACAGCTATTCACCTTTGTGTATGTAACCTAACACAGCAAGGTGTAAGAGTGTCAATCACAAGATGAACAACTTTTATAAATCAGTGATTATAAATCATGTGACCATCTATGACATGATCACCTTATTAAGGCTCCTATATCATCACAGACACAAATCTGAACATTCATCTGTACTTTATCAGCCATATTAAATCCAACTTCCATATTTACGTTCTTGTGATATATTTTTTAATATATTTCTATAATAATGCTATATTTTTTATGTTCACTTAATAACCATAAACTGATCTGCCTTTCTGATTGATTACGAGTCTTGACCATGAATTGTCTGTATAAACAGATTGTACATTATGAGCTGATTTCCCCCGTAAATTTCCACATACTCATAAAAAATGTAGACGTATATAATCAAATATACATGTGTATAGTGCATGCATGCATATGCACCATATGTATAAATGTATATTACACCATGAAATAACTTTCTATATGTTGTGCAATCACTTTTATGGGCATTTAAATATATAATATATATTTAAATATAATTCAAAACAAAATCAGGTGTACATTATTTCTAATTAATGTCAATGACAAATAATTACATTTATGTTGTTGTCCTTTGAGTTGTTGCAACATGTTAATCCCCCCCTCCCCCCCTCCCCCTATTAGGGGGAAATGAACATGAGAGTCGTTCTAAAATTAAATTAACATGTTCTTCTTTCTAAAACATCTGTAATCTTTCAAAAGGACAAATGGACATGTTGGATTTTCGGCAAATAACTTGTTTCTTACTCATTTGCCAAACCCTAAAAACATCCAGTTTGTAATCAGAGTCTTTTGAGTAACTTTTGCTTGACGAAGGACTGACTGATTGATTGTTGTTCAACAACACAATAATGTGTTCTATACCTGATATCAAACTTTAGCATGCTCTCTTCATTGATCAGCGTTTGCACTGGTTCAAAGTTCTTCTTCATGCAGAACAATGTTTTTCAAAAAAGCAAAGCTTTATGAATTTAACTGTTAAGGTGTTCAGATTTTTTTTCATCACTCTTTAAGACATCAAATTAGCTTGATATAAGAAAGTCTGAATGAATTCAGATCTTCTGAGTTCATGTTTTAAGAATCATAGCTACTCTACTGTTTGTTTGTGTTCTTTTTGCTCTGTGAACCGACATCACACCTCCGTTCTTCCACAGAGGCTCCCGTGCCTCCTGCTTTGTATTCTGAGTTGGTGCGATGCTACAAAAAGGTACCTGCAGGGAATTTCAGGAAGCTGTCAATACGGAAAAAGGCGAAAGGGAGTTAGTTTGGCATGGAGTTTGAGTCGGGAGTGAGGTTTAGATTTCTCTCTGCCACAACCCCACAGAGGGCGAGAGATACATATCTAGCAAAGTGGAGAGGAATGTGATAAACATAAAGCATGAATGATGACACACTATCTTCACTACATTTCTGAAAAATAAACGAGACCTCTTTCTTTGACTCTCTTTGTAGATTATTTTCCTGACTGGTTTTGACCTCGCAGCATGTGACACTGATACGATGATTTATAATCCGTGTAAATGGACAAAGCTAAAACGAATTGCTGTCTGCAGTTTCTGAACCAAAAATATCTTAATTGATACTTGATGTCAGCTTTGCCTTGAGATTATGTAAATCGTGTCTCACTCACCTGACCTGCTGTCTTGACATGATGTTACAGCCCACCTCAGCTTTAGTGAGTCTAATGTTTAGATGGAAAGAAAAGGAGGAAGACAATTTTACTACCCTTGAGACTTCTCAAATTTGGTCACAATTTGCAGCCATGTAGTGTACATGAGAAGATTAAATACATTGCAAGAGTGTTCATACAGAGAAATGGGTGATAGTTGGTCACTTTCAGTTAATAGCACATTTAATTAAGCATGATAGCACTTTTAACTCTTATTACTAACACCAGCGTACTTACTGTACGTGCTCCTATAAGGATGTCATCATGCATCGTTAATACCAAGAATCATCTGATATGATTCACATGGAAGAAGATAACAAGTCATACCAAAAAATAAAACTAAATCGAATTGATAGTTACTATATGGAAAATAAGTGATCACAATTGAATGTTTCCTGAGAGGGATATAAATGTCTGTACCATCATTTTGACCCATCAAATGTTTGAGGTTATTTTCCCTGAGAAATGCTTCAAGAGGACCAGTCAGGGGATCAGAAAAGAGCCATGGCATGACCTTTGACAGACATTAGACCCTTACCTTTGGTTTATAGCCACCCATGAAGGCTAGATATTGGAAGCCTGCTTTTCTCAGTATCGTACTGTAAATTGATTTTCCTCGATGTGCTTTCAACATGTGAATCATACATTTCCTAAATTTAGAACTAAGCTCAACTGAACACAGCTTATCCACTAGTCAGTGATCACCGCTTTGCTGCTGGTGATGATTGTAAAGTTAAAAAAAACGGACACGTAATCGACCCCCTAGAATGTATTTCTGTCAGTTTTCGGGAGGTTAAAAATAATTGGAAGTAAGGTGTGTAATGATAAAAGAATCTGCGAGCACTGGCTCTGTCAAAACGTACTGTAGCTGAGCTGAAGCCCAGCTGGCTCAATAATAACTCTAGAAGTCTTACGTGTCATCAATTACGAAGCAGTCACAAACAAACAGGTGAGGAACTGAAGGGAAGGGATCTCATCACACAGCCCTTAGCTTCTCAGCACTGTTAGCCACTTCACCAGTGGTCCAGACTTTAAATTCAAGTCTGTTTATTACTTTTTTCAGACCAGTTTGCACAAAAAGAGCTCCCCATTAAACCCAACAATAACGGCAGAGACACAGAACAAAACACCACTTTAAAATCTAATTATTGATACCTTCAGGGAGAAACGTACGAAGGTACACCTTGTTATAAATTCAGACACATTTTAAATGGGAATCAGCATCAGGTTTTTGTTTCTTTTTTAGCAAAACTATAATAAATAAGAAAGACCCAACCCTAACCCGTATAGACACAACTCATTTATTCTTTTCCTATAATGAAAATGGTGTCTGTATTTAAATCAAAAGATAAATTAAACCACTCAGACATGTTTGTCCTCTAAATTAATACATATTATTGTAAAACTGCTTTACACAACTATCAAAGACAAATGAAAGTACGGTTTATGAACATGTTTAGAATATACTTTTGCATTATGGAAAAGAAATATTAAGAAAATCATCATCAACCTTTTCTTCAGTTCTCGGAGAGATCATTGAGGATGACCCTCATTTACAATGATGCCGAGAAATACACACATAGATGACAAACATAATGAGTTAAAGCTACCACAGAAAATAGGATAAATACATACAAATAAAATAATTTTAAAAGCGTGAAATGACTTCAATAATTAGTCAACAATTAAAATCAAATAAAACAGTTACAGGGAGGTATTGGGCAATTAAAAAGAATATTCTCAAAGTGTCCAAAAGGGATAAAAGAGCTCCATTTCAGGTCATGTTGTAAAAATATTCCAAGAGTTCGCTGCACTAACACTGAAAGCAGTTTGTCCTCGGTCAGTCCTGGCATGGGGAACCTGGTGAACCAGTCGCTCACTCTAGCGAGTTAAACATGGACCGGGGTTCAAATGCAACAAGGAGGTGATATATGATGGTAGCTTTCCGGTAGTTATTTCGTCAGTCAGAGGGCCAACGTACCTTATCAAGCAGAATGCAGTGGTGAGTCATTTAACTATCAACAGTAATGAATCTAAGTGCATCGTCTCCTCATCTTCACATAAACGAGTGGAATAAGTTTGTTGAGTAGAGCAACATTAGTGGTCAGAGATTGATTGTGTGCAAGGGTTGCAAAAGTCCACCAAAATCAATGTTATCTCAATTACATATTTGATCTGCTGTCTTTGTTTTAAGACTCAGTCTTCCGAACATCAGTCAGATAGGTGATTTTGGGGCTGTCCTTTCCCTTGCTCTCAAAGGGAATCACTTTGTTGAGAGTATTTTTCTATTCCTTCAGGTATTGGCCTGCTTACAATTAAATTGAAGCAAAATTGCAAAGCCACTTGAGAAGCAGTGGGGTGTATAGCAATGTGAAACCTCAATGGTGTTATTAGATTGTTTTGTTACTCTCAGTCTACTTGTAGGGAATGAGTCTTTTTTTTTTTTTTTTTTTTTTGCTTTTTTACCTCCTAAAATTCATGAGAAAGAAAGAAAGAGAAGATGCCACTTTTCTTTAGTGGCCTCTCAAAGTCAAGGACAAAGAGTCTCTGAAAACTTTTGTGACTCCAGTCCTCTCACACTTTAGCTTAAGCACTTATTTCATGGATGTCCTAAATTCTTGAAAAATTCCAAAAACAAAATGTGTTTTTCTGCAATTATGAATCAACAATGCTGACTCATGTATTTATCCTCTCCATGTTGATAAATAACAGAAGTTCTCCATTTTTTTCTTTATAATGAAAAGGATGGAGTTTCAGTTTTTATTATATCACTTGGGGAGTTTGGTAAGAAAACATTCTTATTATATTGTATATTTTGCGCGAGTTAACATTAATATAATTAAAGAATTCAATAGGCCTATGACGTCATTTCATACTGATGTAGGGTTCTGATTTGTGTTGAATCAAAATTGTAACATGGCTTTGTGATATAAACAAACATGTATTGTAAATGCAAATAACATTATATCAGATCGTGATGAGAGCTGCGGTGAAGAATGAAGACTAGAATCACAAGTTTAACAGTCTGAAATGTCTCATCAGTACCAACAACCCTTGATGGAGTTGGATTTTCAATAATATGTGCACATTATCTCGATAATGTATACACAAACATTTCTCTTAAATACCTGTTTGCTCTTCACAATATTGACGTCAATGTGACATTTTGGATCCAATCTGAATGTCAGAGAGGGCTGATGGGGGGAGGAAGTGATCTCCCCTTCTGTACCGTCTTCAGAGATAGTAACCGATTTGTTACAGGAGCGATACGAGATCAGCTGAACCAGCGGGTGGAGCGCAGCGCGGTGTGTATGCATGTCTGACTGTTTGTGTATGTGGAGCTTCCGCAATGTGGATTTACAGAACTGGGACAACAATATTACGCTGTCGCAAAAAAATCAATATTAATGTACAAAGAAGCGATGGCGGCTGAGCTTAGTTTCGGCGCTTTTGCGAAAAAAGCAGTCTGAAAAGGATTATAGATAGAAACAAGATTCCCCTCCTTGATCATCTCTTGTAACATATTGTTTTTAAAACATCATAACCAATCAACAATAATCCCAGTGCCAAAGAAATATACCACCGGGTTTGCAAAAAAATCTCAGAGCTTAAAGCAATGCACAGATAAAGGTAAATGTGCAGGTTAACCTATTTACATAAATCTTCAGTCATAGCCCACCATGTTTAATTCATATCCTACCACCAGTTCCACAGCAGCCCAGAGGAATTCCCCTGCACCACCACTTAGTCATGCCTAATCCATCCATATCGCCCCTCAAAACATCCATGATATCATTTGTATCCCGGCTCTGAGATGATAACCGATCAGGCTCTCGGAGATATAGCCTAATAGCATAATTTACACCGTACTCCCAACAACTGGGCCACTCGGTGTGTAGTGCACGTTAATGACCTGACGCCTCACCAGCCTCCATTTATTCCACAGACACCCTTTTTTTCTTTCCTAACAGGTGCTGTAGTTTTCATCTTGAACAGCTCCCAGGAGAAGGAATAGTCGTGCCTGTTATTGGGTGGAAGGAGGAGAGAGGCCATTAGTTTGGAGGGATTTTAATCCTTTTGGCACTTTTGCTTTATTTTACAGTATGGAGACTACGACCCAAACGTACACAAACCTGGCTTCTTGGCCGAGGAGGAACTGCTGCCTAAGAGGGTGAGTGACAGCTGTCTCCACCTGTTGTTATTCATTCAAGGCGTTGACATATTTATGTACTGTAGTTATCTGGGCCAGTACCTGCATTATTTGAGCATCGCAGTATGTACTGTATTCTCTACAAGCAAATGCATATTTAAACCTCTCTCTCTCCATTCCAGGTGATTAACTTGTATCAGATGACTGCAGAAATGTGGGAGGAGAGGATCACTGCGTGCTATGCTGAGCACCGGGGCCGGACGAGGTAAACTCTGCTGCACTAAAATGTACCACACAGCAATACTGCAGATCATTTTGGCAGTAAGAAAGTGTCGCATACATTTGTTTCTCTTTGGAAGTTATTTTTTTAACAAATAGCCAAGAAAATACACAAACTCCAAGCCTCCCATGGTTGTCAGTTATGAGTAATTACATGTATTTTCACAAGGTAAAGACAATCAATGTAGCCATTTTTCAAAAGAAAATCATTTAGTAAAGTTGCTTCTACTCTGAACTAGGTTGAGAATGGGATTGGGAGAAGGTTTTAGGGATGTGGAGTGTCTTAAAACTCCAGCAGGCAGGGAAAGTCAGAACTGGGGAGAGAGAGAGAGAGAGAGAGTTCTGAAAGCAAGCAAACCAAAGCACCCAGGGAGGTGATAACTGAGTCACTGCTGCTGATGTATCCCCTCTTCAGCTCCAGCAGAGCGATGGGGCTGCCGATTATCACACCTTGCATTTTGTTTAGAAAGTAATGCAGTGTAGTTTGGGGGTATAGTGGGGAGACCGCTGGCCAGCTGATGGGTTTCAATAACACTTTTTAAAAATGGATTCCAAAGATCATTTGACAGTGTTCCTCCAAAACTAATAACAGTTGGATCAATATCATTCTTAATTGTTAAGTATTAATAGCAAATGTGGTCACCGATATGCTAAACTAACGTGGTTGACTTGAGATCTGTTAAAAAACATAAAACAGTACATGTATTGAAAAGTACAAATACATTATAATTATTATATTGAATGTGGGAATGTTGGAATGAAACCCAAAGCACAAGGGAACCTAACTACTCCCTCAAAGAGTCATGGATGTTGAACTGGCTGAGTTATTCTCCATTAATGTTACATTTAATTGGACATACATTTAAAGTTGTCAAGGGAAAATTGCTGTTTAAGCACAACAACTATGTAAGAACATTCCCTCATCAACATTGGCTATTGTTTGTCTCGGGATAAACCTATTCATAACTGGTGTCATGAGTTCATGACTCAAATAGTTGGGTGTATATAGGTATAGAGGTCTACTTCTATATGCTCCTCCCACATCATGCATGAGCAGCTATCTGGACATTAATTTACTCAAAGAAAGAAGCAGGGAGCTTCCCAGTCTGCATGCAAGCAGCGTCAGTGTCAGTTGTTTTGGTATTTTTAAATTGATACGCCAACAAAGTTTAAGACTTTCAATAAATGCAAAGTTGTAACATTTATCTCAGTCGAGCCTGACGGTATTTTGAACCTACAAAATGACCCCAGTGTCTTCAACACAGTGAGGCACACAGCTTGAAAGATTCATCACTGACATTGGACTGAGCACTTCCAGACGACCAGTTATCTGTGTCAGGACAGAAAGAGTCATGCAGGACATGGTATGAGTAATGCATCCTATAAATTCAAACAGAATTATGAATCTGAACCCACATTTTGGACACATTTTCAAATGGAATAGTTTCAAGGTAAAACATTATTCATTCACCTTTTCTTATGAAGTCAATCTTTATTTCACAAACATGAACGACATTGATATTTAACAGCTCATCATAGAAACCGACCTGCTTGCCATGTGCAAAATGATTTACAACTTTAAAGCTGCACATTCCCACAGTGTTAATCAAGCATTAGCTTTTAAATCTCACTCGACCCACTCTCAAGTCAGACTGTAACCGGTCCAACCTAGTTAAGATTTGTCTCCTTGGCAGAATGTCTCCTGCTCATTTAAACTTTTATGAAGCTTAAGTCATCAATTTCCCCAACCACCACCACCCGTATCAAACAGCACGTTATTAAAAGTGAATTCAGATTCATGCCCTGATTTCTGTTAGAGTGTGCTGATGTTCCTTTTTGTTCAGTTAAACCTGAAACACAGCGGATCTGCTAACCCAGCTGCATAAAGAGGAAGAAAAGAGTTTGATAGATGTAGTTTCTGCAGTGACTCTTAAGTGTCTTGAGGGCATCAAAATAAGTCGTTCCATCAAGCATAACCTCTTAAGCCTGTTAGCGAACTACGATTGCATTTCGTGTCAGCACTGTGCTTCTGTTTTTCAACCTCGCAAGAGTGATGTGGCAGAGTTTTTGTAGATCACACAGCGCGACAGATGCTACACACAAAAGCCAAGGAAACAAGGTCTGATCCCCTTTTTTCTCCGCCTCCTCTCCTCTTCTCTCCCCCTACCTCTCTTCTTCATTCCCTTGGATCCCTCTAAATCTCCTCCCCCTCTTTTCTCTGCCTGTCTTTGAACCAGGGATGAAGCTGAGATGGAGTATCTAAAAATAGCTCAGGACCTGGACATGTACGGCGTCAATTACTTTTTAATCAGGGTGAGCCAATGCTGTTACACTATATCTTTACAAAGTTAGCCAATGTGGGAGATGAGGGGGCGTGTCACCATGGTGTAATGAAATGAAGTGGAGGGGACGCAGTCTGACTCTGCTGTCCTTCAACCGACTTTGTTATTTGAAGATTGGGCTTCTTTTTTTCTTTTTCTTTTTGAACAAAGTAGTTATTTTGAGCAAAGGATCAGTTTCTGTGTGGCAGTGTATCTTTCCCATGTGAGTCATAACAAAAAAATGAATTTACTTGAGGTGCCTCTGGCCTTGATCAATGCGTTCTCTAAAAGGCCGAGACATTTTAAAATACCAGCAGCAAGTCAACGTCAGCTTAAGTAATTCACTGTAGCGTTGTTTTTAAGGAAAACAAGCCCAGAGTGCATACACTTCTCACAACTGGGCATTGTTCAGCTCAGATTGAACAAACAGTTTTGCCAAGCACAGCTCGCACAATGTCAAAAGCAAACACAAATACATTTTGGGCTGGAAATGCACTCAATCAACCGCTTGCTAGTATCCTTTAAAAGACAAATAAGAGGAAGAGTGTGTCTTTATTTTGGGCTGCTGTGCTTCAGAATAAAAAGGGAACAGATCTTCTTCTGGGAGTAGACGCCCTGGGTCTGCACATCTACGAGCCGGACAACAGACTGACGCCAAAGTGCTCCTTTCCTTGGAACGAGATCCGTAACATCTCCTACAGCGACAAAGAGGTGAAAGAATCTGTGATTGTACTACACCATGGCAAAAAGTTTGAGTCTATTAAATGTGGGTGAAACTTAAATATAATAATAATAGTAGACTTTATTTGGCATGGACATCACAGATACATTGGATGAACCAGATGCATTGTTTAAGTGTTTTAGCAAGCATGCTAGTTCTCAACACCTGTCCACAGGAGGCTTTTGAAAAGAAAACAATTAAGATAGGGAGAAAAGCGATAAAACAGAGAAAACAATAATGGGAGAATAAATAAATAGAACTGTAGAGCAAAGGCAGCATGATCAAACAATAAACCAGTCAGAAGCTATTCATGTAAGCACTGTTTGTTTTGATTTTAGCCATTGTTTGAGTCCTCTGTTAAAAGCATTACTGTTGCTCTCTAATTTTATGCCAGTGGGCAGAGAGTTCCCATGTTTTGCCCCCTTTGCAGAGAAAGCAGACTGGACAAGAGATGTCTTGTACATTGGAACAAGACAATCACCGCTGATGGAGGCTCGTGTGACTACCCTACGAGAGCTCTGACGCCTAATGGCTAATTCAGATAACAGTGGTGACATGATTATTTAAACATTTAAAAAAAAAAAAAGAAAAAGAGAGAGATATGAATAGTCTGTAATTGAGAATCATACCTGGATCCGTTATTTTTTAAGGGATTACATCCTGTGTTGTGCGAATATATAATATAAACTGACAGAAACTTTATGTTTGAACAATTTAAGAACTTCAAAGGTCATGACAGCTTTTTATATTTTGACGGCATAGAGTCCTGTCCAAAGTGTGAGGCACAAAGTGATATAGGGATGTCTGACTACATTTTGCTTGTTATGCAGCGCACAATCTGGGCCTTAAATAAGGCGCAGGGCGCATAGAAGTTCGATTAAGTCCCTGGATTAAACAAAGGTGTGTTTGTGGAAAACAGGACTAAAACCACAGTCTAAGCACCCATGGTGCCCTAACGTGGGCATCTCACTGATATTTATATACACAACGGTGGCACAGATGGAAAACTGGGAAAAAAAAGATTTGCAAAAAAATGATAGGCCCTTCGTGACATATTGAATTCTATATTTTGAGTTTTCTATTTTTCTCCATGTTTAGTTCACCATCAAGCCTCTGGACAAGAAAAACCAACGTTTTCAAGTTCAACTCTTCACGGCTCAGAGTCAACAAGCTGGTGAGTTCTGCTGAGTTGGTAGAAATTGTTTCGGCTTCTAAATACTTTTTTTTTTTTTTCAACCAGCGGCTCATGAAGGCGTGGGAGCTGTCATTTTCAACTGTTCATCTGAGTATACATGGAAGATAATACAAGAAACTTGTGAATAAGAGTTCTTGGAGGTAGCAACATTTACGACGTATTGTGAAGTGTTGCTGTAACAAACACTCGTTTTTTGATTTCTTGTACAGATCCTCCAGTTGTGTATAGGGAACCATGACCTGTTCATGCGCAGGCGGCGCATCGACTCAATCGAAGTGCAGCAGATGAAGGCTCAGGCCAGAGAGGAGAGGGCCAGGAAACAGGTACTGAAAGTGTGACAAGGTTGTACTTGTCATTTGGCCAAAAAGTAGTTCTGATGTACTGAAGGTTTTGACAAAATGTTTTCGATCATATCCTGTTTTTCATACATTCTATAAAGCCAGTATAAAAGAAAGTTATCAGACCGTTGGTAAAGAAGAGGGCACATTCATGTTATTAAACGGTCTATGTTACACCTGCAATGATGGGACACAGTGTGGATTGCATGATGTGGGGGACGGGCATTGGTGCCTTGCTAAAGGGCACCTCTACAGTGCTCAGGAAGTGAACCAACTTCCAGATTTGATCCTTACCGGCGACCCTCCAGTTCCCAACCCAAGTCCCTACAGACTGAGCTACTGCCTCCCCCGAGTAGTGGAGACTGACAGACTTGATGAATTAAGCATGTTTGGAGGAACATTTGTACGTGAACATTTTCATCTCAAACAAATTGAGAATGCACTCAAAAACAGGAGCATGGAAAGCACTTAGATACACAGAAACACTTTCTGCCCATCCACCTAAAGTGTTTATTCAACTTTAGTTGTTTATGGATTCCCTTAATTGTTTGTCCTCTAAATCCTTTTTTGATTCACCTGTTTTGTGATCCTCTCTGTTCCAAGGTTTGCTTTGTCTGTCTTATTCGCATTTATATTCCGTCCTTTGTTTCTTCCTTTATCCACAGTTCAACTCATTTTGTCTCTTCACATCCTCTTTTCTTCTTTCCACATCCCACCTGTCATTGTTGTTAAGATGGAGAGGCAGCGTCTGCATAGAGAGAAGCAACTGCGGGAGGACGCCGAGAGAGCCAGGGACGAGCTGGAGAGGAGGCTGATTCAGCTGCAGGATGAGGCTCACATGGCCAACGAGGCGCTGGTAAGCTTCAGGCTGGATGGCTTAACCCAAAATCATTTCTTGGAGGGGGGATTTGCCAAATATATATCCCAGGTTTCCAAAACAAAAAATCCAGCTCTTCACTTCTTTTCTTTCCATAGTTCAATTTTGTATGTCTTGTATGGTCCATCTCTTTCTTCTGTCCTATTCCCATTTTCATCTTAATTTATCCCTTCTCATTCTGTCCTCATTTTCTCTGCATGATATTTTCACCTCTGTCTCTATGTTGTTATGCTCATCCTCGTTCTCTCCTATACTCAACTTTTCTTCCCCCTATCCCCCCTTTTTCTTGCTTTTGCCCTCTGTCCTCCTCTTCATGCTCCTCACCAGCTGCGATCAGAGCAGACGGCGGACCTGCTGGCTGAAAAGGCCCAGATCGCGGAGGAGGAGGCCAAGCTGCTGGCCCAGAAAGCTGCCGAGGCTGAGACGGAGATGCAGCGCATCAAAGTGACTGCCATCCGCGGCCAGGAGGAGAGGAGGCTCATGGAGCAGAAGATGCTGGAGACAGAGATGCTGGCCCTCAAGATGGCTGAGGAATCGGAAAGAAGGTGGGGAAGGGAGGACTGTAAGACAGCCATCCATGCTGGAGTGATTCTGATTCTGATCAGGTGTTTCGCTGCAGTGCGGTTTTGTCTCTCACATATAAATCATCTTTATTCCTGTCTTAGTATCCGTCTCACAAACTGCAATGCATTTCGATATCTAAATAACTAATTCTCACATCTCTTTTACCCTCCGAGAGTTTTCATTCTTTATTTGTTCAAATACCTCCAAGTGAGGAAGCTTTCTTTTAAAGCATAAAAAAAAAACTCATGAGCCTCCCAAGTGTTCTCTGAGTTACTTGACTGTTTAATGTCAAGGTGCACAAACACAAACGCTGCAGCTCAGTCTGCACAGCAGCACAGATGTCAGTCAATATGCTCCTTGCGCAGAGCCAGGTAACACGGCTGCATATAAATGACTCGATCAAAGAATAAGAACTTCTTGCTTGTTTAAAATCATTTAATTTGAAAGCCTTTGTTCTTTGCACTGCAGCTGAAAACGTGGGTAATCATCCGTCTACAGCCACACTGCTTCAGACAGAGACAAAAGAAAGAACGCTTTTGTTCGGCAGCTCTGTGAGGCTGTGGTTTAATTTGTGCTAGTTAATTGTTAGCGGTAGTATCGATTGATTCTAGGAGTAGCGATCAGAAAGTCTCTGTCACTGCTCATTGAAGCTCCAAGGTGCTGAAACTGATCTGTGATTTGATCTCTGCTTTGGTCTTTTTATCATTCATCCTTGAATGGTTCAAATAAACAACTTTACATCTTTATTTCTTTGAGGTCAGATGGAGAAGGAGATTTGATGAGGGATCCTTGACAAACACTCTGTACAGCTTCATAGGTGCAAGTCCAAAGCAGCAACCCACTAAGGACATTTCTGCAATACAACAGAAAACACAGACACTAAAAATATCACTACACGGCCTCTCCTTCACAATTCATAAGCCAATCATTTGAAATGTGCACCATTAACCACTTGTAACTGCAATTTGTGGACGAGCACTTTCTGCAGCAGAGAAATTTAAACCGGCACCACTCAACATGTAAATGGCTATGTCCACTCAAACCCTCAAGGCACACGGCTGACCCCCACATTAATGAGGAACTGCTGAGTGTTCAGGAACACAATAAAAATAAATATAAGAACGTTCATATCACATTCTTGCATCTCTGTGTGCAAGTTCGATGGAGTCAGAAATAAGTGTCTGCTGGGATGATTCAATGATCAACTGGGAAACAGAGTGAAAAATCCCATTTAATTATGCTCCCATGATCCGATAATGTAAGATTCTTGGAGATCAGATTTTTTTTTTTAGATCCTGTTTACCTTCAAGTAAAAGTGAATTCAAGTTTAAACTGCATCTGTCTATCTGTCTGTTTTCTTCCTCAGAGCCAAAGAGGCTGAGCAGCTGAAACAGGACCTGCAGGAAGCCAGGCAGTCAGAGCGCAGGGCAAAGCACAAGCTGCTGGAGATTACCACCAGGGCTGTCTATACGGTAACCGGTCCAGTACGCCACACACACATACAGACACATACACACGTGTTTGCACTTACGGTACATTTACTGTATATTCACAAAACACAACAGAAGACAAGCCGAAGAAGATAGTGTGCACAAGCTTAAGTAATGGAGCACCCAAAATGATGCTAATTGATCAATTCATTGATCATTTATTTGAGCTTAATGTGTTATCGGTATTGAAAGCATGGCCTCTCTGCCTGCTCTTCTTCTACTTCCCTTTATCTGTTGCTTTTCATGTGTTCTATTTTTTATCATTTATAAAAGCCTAAATAAAGTTAACTATAAAAAATGTGCCTCACACACAAATCTACCAACACAAATAAAATCCAATAGAGTTTGACAGTGCCTGCAGAAGTATAGTGTTTCATTCCCTACTGTGATTATCAGCTGCAACTGTTGATATTGAAAAAAATGTTTCATATTAGCTTGAATACTGAGAGAACACACGCGCGCGCACACACACACACACACACACACACACACACACACACACACACACACACACACACACACACACACACACACACACTCGCTAGATGAAATACACAAATAATTGTATCCTCTGCAGAACCATACTGAAAAGGAAATACTTGCATAAGAACAGGCAGCCAGCACATAAGGCAGCCTACGCAAGAGCTCCCAACATGCTAAAAACCCACACACAAGATATGAATCTGCTTACACACATGTGCGCACACACACACACACACACACACACACACACACACACACACAGATGCATATTCAGATTCTGGCCATAGCTAGAGATCTACTGCCTTGTAGACTTCAGAATTCAGAATGAAGAGCCTACACACACACACACACACACACACACACACACACACACACACACACACACACACACACACACACACACACACACACGCTGCTGCCTCCTACACACAAAATAAATTGTTGCTGCTAGAACACAATAAATAAATGCATGTATCAGCCTATCAACATGAAGTCTAAACATATAAACATACACAAGTAGACAATATTTTTAAATTGCCATTTCCTTCCAAGTCGCCCTTTAGGCCTGTCAAGACGGTTGGATGTATCCACTCTGTAGTCGGGACTCCCATGCCAACCAGTGGATTTACATTTATATTGTGTATTAGGTCCACTTCTTATTCTGCCGGGTCCTGAGGATGCATGTGGCCAATGCATTTCACAAATGTGGTCAGGACCTAAAAGCATCTATTCCTGTGTGTTCATGGTCTGTTACCATCAAAGTGGTCTTGCTTCCTCCCAGTTTCTTCGCCTTCCATATTGTGTCCTACTTGCAGAGATCTTATACATGCATTGCTCATCTTCCCCTCCTATATGTGCTGTCACCTCTATCCAACCCCACCTTCTTATATGTTTAACTTTCCATTCCTAGCTTTTTCTTGTCTTTATCAAGCCAACCTTTTTTTTTCTTGACAACCTTTCCTCACTGGTGTCTCTCCTCTAATCTCTTCCCTTTATCTCTCCTCCTAGTCTCCCGGACTGCCGCCTAACAGCATGCCTCCAGACCTGAGCTTCAGCAGGGAAAACCTCAGCTTTGACTTTAAAGATACCGACATGAAACGCCTCTCCATGGAGATTGAGAAAGAGAAGTGAGTGGCCAGCCCTTCTCTGCTGATGCCGCCTGATATTCTGAGGCTTGTTCAGTTTTCATTTTCTCGTTATGTGGTGTAGTCTGATGTAGCACTTCCAGGATTGATTTAGATATACATTTTACTGTAATTTTAAATCCACCCATACTATGTTATAGAAAGATCTAAACCAATGCATGACTGTACTCTTTAATAAACTATTTGATTCAGGAGTTCAGGGGAGTCACTGACACTGAGCATCAGCTGTCACCGATGTCACTTCCAGCATGTGTTTTAAGATCCGACCTCTCTTTTTCAACAGCAACTACGTATATTTGATCAGCAACATATCATGTTCGTTCTCAGGAATAACTAACCTACCACATCATTCCATGTAGACAGTTTAACCTCGTATACAGTGATGCTGAAATAGTTTATTTCCTTTTTTTGGTCCCAGAATTCCTGGAAAAATCGTTCTCAAACCTTGGAAGATTTCAAACAAAAATATTTTCTTTTTCAGAAATGTCGTTCAAAATTCATTTTTTTTTTTACATTTGCACTCATGATTTGATTTAAAGTGTGATATAGTAAACGCTTCGGGATTATGGTGGAATAGGTAATGTTGTATCACTAAAGCCCTTTCAGATTGCTTTGTCCGCTAAAGTGCCATCACTTAGCTCTGTGACAGAGTAATATTGGTGTCCCAGTCTGTGAATTCACATTGCGTTTCGTTGTTGCGGAAGAACCGCACAGAGGACGCTCCACATACACACACACAGTCAGACATACACACAGTGCTGCGCCGCTGGCTCTGCTAATACCGTCTCTCCGCTGTAACGCCTCATTTACTAACTCTGAATTCTGTACAGAGGAGGCATCAATTCGTCCTCCCATCACTTCTCCACAACATTCAGATTGAAAGTGAATCGTCACAGGGACATAAATCTCGCAGCTCGAAACGGCAATCTAAAAAAGGCTTAAGTCTGTGCTAGTATTAAAAAAGGATTTATTAATCGGTACATGTTCATCCAGGTGTTTTTTTCTTAATGACTTTTTGAGTACCAGCTATTAAAGTTAGATTTAACTTCAACATAAAGGGCTTGAGTTTGGGGATATGGACACAACTTTGAATGGAGACGAGCAGAATAATTCAGCGCATCCTACTTTTCACAAAATTTAAGTGCATGTTAAGAAAAATGCAAGCTATTCAAATGGTCTCCTTTATCTGTCATTTGATCTTGTTTAGGGTGGAGTACATGGAGAAAAGCAAGCACCTGCAGGAGCAGCTGAACGAGCTGAAGACAGAGATTGAGAGTCTGAAGATGAAAGAGAGAGAGACTCCTCTGGACATCATTCACAACCAGAACACCGAGCAGGGGACCAGCAAGCAGAGCAACTTTAAAAAGGTAGCTATTAGCACTGCTGCTAGCATTAAGCTCACGATACACATGCGATAGAACATCTGTATGTTCTTCTAAAATACCCCAAGCACTCAGGGATTATCCCAACTCATACCTCATGCATCTTAAGACAAGCATTCAGGGTTATTTTTATTTATACTGGCACAGAATTTTTCAATCAATCTCTGGTAGTATAAAAATAAATCTGATGACTCCTCACCCTTCAAGTTTTTCTAACCCCTCCGTGTGTAATCATCAACTGATACATATCAGTAACCTTGTGGGAGGAGCCAGAGGTTCAAACACATCGATATAAAACCACAATCTGACCCTGATGTTGTTGTTAAAAAAAACATTCAATACATGTGACTCTCTGTCTCGCTTTATCTTCATGTCCAGAAGTCAAACCTACTTCGGGTCCCTGCAACATTGTACGAAATTGCATAACATTTGTAGTTTTTTAAGAAGACGTGCAACAAAATCCTTATCTATTATACATAAAATAAAATATACAATCTCCACAAACATTACATGACTCATAAGAAGTTACCAAAAGAAGCAGCTAGATTAGAGACAACGAGAATTGATTAACTACAGGTTCATATACTCATACAGTACATCTTTCTAACCTTATGAGATCAATTGTAGCTATGAAAATTATAACATGTAAACAATTTAGATATACATACAAATCAGATTCCAGGCTTGATATACATCCATATCTACTTGATAGCAGTCTTTTTCTTCCCCTCTTTTGCTGGCACATGGCCATTTCTGTTATACCACCTGCTGGTCAGGTACTATTGCAAACTCCTCAAATGAATCTTTTTTCTATCAGGTTGTATGTCCATGAGAGCCCTGCGAGGCCCTGAGACAAAGTCTGCCATGTTCTTCCTCTTGAGCTTGACTAGATTCGAGACTGACACCAAGCTATGGAGATATTATAATATATATTAAATCATATTATACAAAACCATTTGCATATGCGTAAATAGATCCACAAATGCATAAACAGATCCAAGACTGTAAGTTGTTTTGCAACAATAATATCTGCATCGCAAACTCTCTCTTTCTAAGATGTGCAAAAAAAAAAAAAAATACAAACATTAATGCATAGAAGAGAGCCAAAACATAATTACAAACAATAATGCAGATGAGCTGACTGTCCAATAGCATGCAGAGAAAAGTAAATAAAGATATGGCCAAACTGTACCTGATGGCAAACAGAGAGTTAATTAAATCAACTTGTGACGGTTTCTGTTTGGTATGTCTAGAGATTTAAAAAAAAACCCAGTGAGGTTATGCTTCGGTGTGCCATGTGTGAATGAGAACAGGTTTTCTCTCTGTGGGGAGAAACACCTATTTTATTTCTTCTGTAATGGGATCGCTGAACCAACCTTTGCATTGCGATGTTTCATACAGAAGCCTATGTTTGCTTTGTTTTTATGAGGGGAAAATGGATGAAAACAAAGCCCAGTCTATTGAAATCAAAACAACCTAACTAGCCAGGATTCACTCAGCAGGGCAGGGCCGGGGGTCCTCTAGGCTACGTTTGTATTACATTTTCCAAAACTGAGGAATCCAAAGCCCCATCGGTCTTAATACATCTTGGCTACATTTACAGTTTTCAGCCTTTCAACAGCCGTCCATCAGACGAAGACTCATGATGTGCTGAAGTGTGAATATGGTTTTAAAAGTGATCCTACATTATCTTCCAGGGATGACTATCAAATTGATAGTCCTCCCGCGTAAAACACCCACGCCCAACCATCATATTATTTAAAGTCGGGGTATTGATTCTCTGTGCATCACTTTATAGCACTTGGCCTCGGGTTCATATTTCATCCTTGAATTTGCTCTTTGATGAAGCCCCCCCCCCCCACCCCGGGGGAGGAGCAGCGATCATTCATTTTCTACTATAACCTCCAAAAGTGAGCGGCGATTATGGTTTGAGGGGTGCTGAAAAAAGTTGGATGAAAATCTGGGTTTTTGTATGCATCAGATGTCCACTCTGAGGAAAAGAACAGATATTTCATCAAAGTGAAGAGATAAAGAGATTGACGGCTTGAGGGATATTCTTAAATTGATTGGTCAGAGGCAATGAAACAGCTATAAAAAAGTAGAATAACTTTCCACTATCCTCTGATGACCTGGCAGATTAGACTCATTCCTCTTCATCTCCTCACTCCAGTATCTCCTTTTATTTCAATAAAAGTGTGAAATGACATTTTTTGCCAAGTTGTCAGCACATAATGTCACAGAAAGAAAAAAGCCCAGCCCTCCTCTGTTCTTGTCTCGCAGTGTAACAACACTTGTTAAGCGAGCGGTAATTGATTTTTGCTCGGTGATAAGTCATCTGGATGGATGAGGGCAGCTCTGGCATTCAGGGGGAGAAGGAGCTTAGTTAAGAGTGTTGGTTTAATTGAACCAGAGGTGGTTGGCATTCATCTTGTTAGTAAGGGGAAGGGAAGGGAAGTTGGGAAAAGGGGTACTCTTATAAAGTCAGCTTTACCAAATGAGTGGAGAAGTTTAGGGGAGGCTGAGGTGGGAAAAAAAAAACTTCAAAGGACGAGGAGTTTGAGGGAAACTAAGTCACCGAAAAGTACTGAGAATGTGCTATGAAGTCGGCGACCACAGAAGAGCGGGATGCAAGGCGAGCTGAGGGAATGTGGGGAAAAAAAGCAAGAGATTTCGTGCCAAAAGTATCAGGTCCAGCTTCACCCTCAGGCACACCCTCCCCATTGTGCCGCCCCTCCCTCTCCCCTCTGCATGATTAATGAAAAGCCCCTTACACGGCCCAGCGCCTTCGCACCTTTACCAGGTCACAGGTTCTGCTCGGTTAGCGCCGCTCCTGCAAGCAGATCTCGCTCTCAACGATTGAATCAGAAAACGAGAGCTGCATTGATTCTGTGTGAAATTACAAAGAGAGGAAACGCTCTTTTTTTTATGGAAGTCCATTCAGACTGTGAGAAGTGGCAACACGCAAGGGGTCTCCCACCTGCAGAGGTGGCAAAAGTACACACAGTCTTTACTCAAGTAGAAGAAGAGATTCTACTCTTATACTGATGTCAATCAGGAAGGACATCTGGCTGTTTCTTTGCAAAGCAACCTAAACTTATATATATATATACAAATATGGGAGAATATTTATCTTAAATAATTCTCACTTCAAACGAAAAGAAAGCCCCGTGAATATACTGAAAAATAATGCTCCTATGTGCAAATCAGTTGGATGATGAATTTCTTGCTGCTCTGAATTTGCCCAGTTGCTGTTTGCAACGTTGGCTCTCCAATTTTATTCAAGTAGCGACAAGTTTTCTGTGAGTGTCAGTAATCATATCCACTAAATGAATCTTCTCGCCTCCCCTCTGGCAAACAGCCTTATCCGTGGGACGTTGAATTAAGGGTTCGGGCAGTGTGGTGTACAATCCTGCTGAGGAAGACATCGATAAACACACACTCTCACACTCGCAGGTGTAGTTCTGGCTGCCTGTCAGCAGTGACAAAAGAAGGTGATCTGTAAACATCACCCTCCAAATCCATCCCTCTCCCACACATTATCTGTGTGGATTTGCTTAATTCCCTGTATCTACATATATTTCTCAGAAATAACCTTGATATCCCAACAAACTGTCCTCCCTCCATCCCCAGTCTATTATTTACTTTGGCAACCAGCTTTAATTCCCTTTACCCTACAGATGTTGAAGAGAGGGAAAGTTTGCCCAGCCAATTGGAAGTCGTGCTCACTTGCGCAGTACCAAATGAGCTAATGGTAAGCTGTCCCGAGGGGTTCAAGCACAGCCAGTGGTCTTGATTAATCCATCTCCAGCGCGTTTAAACCTGGAGAGAAAAACAATTAACAACAGAGCTTTCTTTGACTGGCATTGATCTTCTCTCTCATCCTGCTCTCCCGTGTTTGTTTGATTGTCTCTGCAGTGAATCCGTTTGGAAAACACACATTTCTTTGTCTTTGAGGGACAGTTTGAAACTCTGCCTGAGAGTGATTCTCACTTCAGTCGTAGATGTATCAATAACGCGGCATGCTTTCCCATGCCAGCAGAGATTCATTACCAGCAGAATTATAACCATGGGGGTATATGTTCACTAAACGTATTAAAGTGTACTGACTCTCAAATGATTCTCTCCTTGTGATCACTTTGTCAGGGGAAGCAAGTCAAATCACATGTGCTTCTATTTGTTGTGCTTATTAGACTATACTCTGGGATTTGTTGTAAGAAGAAGTGGATTAAACATGCAACAGTGAATACATATATTCATTAAAAAAACAACCATTATACAGACTTGAGCTTAAAACCATGGAGATAAAGAACTTTGGTCATTTCTATAATGGCTGCCTAACTAATATTCACTTCAAGAAGAGAGTCCTCTAAAGCCTACACACAGTTGAGGAAAGGCCTTTACAAAGTATCTGAACTCATGACTTTATCACCATTTTATTTGATCTAAAAAGGGCCTTTTTGGCTTCATCATTAATCAGCACTCCTGATAAACACATCGCAAGAGTCTAAATTTATCTCAGTTTATTAGAAAAATGATTTTAATGTGAATAAGCAATGCTTTCTCACTCATTGGTACTTTAACTTGTTGGATAGAGGCCTATCCATAACGGCCATGTTTTCGAACAGCTCAGCGAGCAGCCTCCACCACCTCCTCATCCTGAGTTCAAAGAGCTCTACAAAGACTCTGATCTTGACCTGAATCTGCATCAGACTTTTCACTGGTTATTAATCACCAGGTTTAACAGTTTTGATGCGGATTCAGCTGTTCTTGTAAGCCTTCTAAACAATTTCATTAAGATACTTAATGTCTAATATCATTGCAGCAAACCTGTCCCAACAATAAGCATGAAAATGAATCTATCGTTTTTCATGAAATACTTTTTTTTTTTTTTTAATTTATTGAAGCAATTCTAGGGTATACACTGCAGTTGAAAACATTAGTTCGTTTTTTTTTTTCCTTTTTACAAACATATTTAAACCCCATGCCCCTTGTCCTTAATAAGCTCCCCTCACCTCAACCCAGCCCATTAGACCCATACATCGCAGAACACCCACCCTTAAGTTCTAGGCCGCCCTTGACTCTGTGGGTCTTATCTGAGAGCTGGCTGTGTATCTCTTAGAAATGTTAAATATCCTATTAAACAATGAAGCACAGGAATTTGAATTTTACTCATGAAACCTGTTTAAACCCCCTGGCATCACTTTTTCTTCAACTGAGCCATACCCACTTAAAACAAGTTAAAAAAATCACTGAGGGATATATATATATAAAAAAAAGTGCAGGATCTCATGAAAAAGTCAGTAAATTTAGGAAGTCTTGAAGTGTAACCACAGCCTGCCAAGACTCCAGAGACCCATCCAGGGTGCTGGGGGTTTCAAGCATATCCACCTAAAATGAATTTAAAATCACATCCCCACATCAGCTCGGTTTTGCCTGTGTGTCAGTCAGTTAGTAAGGGCTGTGGGAGCTGGAATTGGGCAGGGGGATGATTTCAGGGAGATTTGTTCTCAGCAAGGATTTCAATTTGGTGACTTGTTTTGCCTGCTGCGATATATTCTGTTCCTGTTTACTTTTACAAAAGGTAACAAAAAGCTTATCAGGACTGTTGCTATCTCCTCCACAGCTAACACTACAGAGCACCAAGTCCAGGGTGGCCTTCTTTGAAGAACTTTGAACTGCACGACTGCCTACAAAACGTCATGACACTACATTCCTGGCCAGTTTGAGACACTACAAAGCTTCATTCTGTACTTCTTGGGGAAGCGCAATGAAATGCTATGGATTGAAAAAAAAAAAAAGACCACTGCCTCGATGTGCACCAACACTATGGGCCTCGTGTGAACGCACAAACAAACATAATGCTCATAAAGCATAATGTTCCTGCACTGAATCTTGGGATTCATAAAAAATGGAGTGTGTGTTTACAGTGAGAGTGTGCAGAACATTCTCCTTGAATAATTTAAAGTGAAAGTATGTTTGTTATTTTACAACAAAATCATAGAACAAAGAACGTTTTTGTGACTTCTTCTGTACCACTCTAGCTCCAATGATACAGTGTGTGTAAAATTTGGAATGGTTTCATTATCGTTTCCAAATGGGGCAATTTTAATCATTTGTTTGCTTCAGTGTCTTGCAATTCAAATGGAAATAGACCACTAAGGGACCATGCACAGGAGACGTATTAGTACAACGTTTTGGAACAATAATGTTGTTGTGGGCGGCAATATATTATTTTGTTATTGGCTGCCTTCTGCTGTTACACTGATGATGTGATGAAACTACCAATTGTACCAACAAATACCAATATATACTTTTTTTTTTTTTTTTTACTCAATGACATCATGCTGCCCTTATTTTCTATTTTAAATGACACATTCCTGCAAATTCAAAATCATCAAGCAGCAAAAACAGGAGATGAATTTGTCTTGCACAGCCATTTATTGTTGACAGAAGGAGTTGATGGGCTGTAGTGGATATTACGCTTAACACAGCGCAAAAACTCACCTGTGTGACATAAAACTATGTGTAGTCATTGTATAATGTGTTTTTTTTTTTGTTTAGTGTGTAATCTCAGAACATTGGTTAATGTTGTGCCTTTTATGCAACTGAAGAATGTAGATGAATGTACACAAGGCCTCAGGACCTGCGTTTACATCTTTCTACTCAGATACATCATGTGACACCAGCTCTGCACATGGTTGTGAGTGCCCTTTGGGAAGCCACCGGGTGCACTGCCCTCTGTTCCTACAAGTGAAGAGACGCTCATTTGTTCCAGATGGTTCTTAGAATTTAAACTGGATGAAGGTGCTGTGATTTTTAAATGTGAGCTCGCGTCACGTCATATCTTAACTTTTTCTCATGAAGACAACCATTTTTTAAACATGAACTTGCTATCTATTCTAAATGATGTGTCTTTTTGAATTAATGTGCTCTTTCTTACGAAGAGCAATTTTTTTTGGGGGGGGGGATTAGAATGTGAAGAAAATAACCATTTTTTTTATTTTTTCTGTCTGCATTTAATCTGGATTGAGAGCAGTATTTAAAGTGAAACTTTGGGTGAAGTTACAGTGCATTTATATTTCAAGACAATACCTTTTTACAGAAACGTTGTGACAGATTTGTATGTTTTTTTCATGTCAAATTAAAATGAACATCAGCGCTGAATTTTTTTAAATTTTTTTATGTTGTTCTGTACATCCGGAAATAATTTTGGATTAATTTAGCAGACTTCCATGAATGCCAGCTTTGATATTGAGGTGCCAGAAGCATTTTCCGCACAACCAAAACCGAAATCCAATTACACCTTTGAAGGTGTTACATAAGCACCCTCCAACTTGTGTCAGATCACATACCCTGTTTGCCTGAGTGACAAGACCTTTGTGTGTGTGCTTACAGATGCGTGGGTGAGTGATGTGTGCTGCATGCCCTGTGTACTTGTTTTAGTGCCTGTGCTTGTTGTGTGCCACAAATTTAACCCTCTTAATGTGATTTCCTTCTGTGGTGTTTGGTCCCCGAGACTGACAGCTCTCTGACAGAGTGAGTGGCGAGGAGGTCAGGGGTCTTCTCCACAGCTCTGTCACCTATGGGCTCAGTTGGAGAATGGCCACCCTTGGCTTGTCAGCGTTGTGACAAAGCGGTGTCTTCATGAGGAAAAATCTCCCTAGGGGCGTAAATCTCAGAGGAGCCGGGGCGGAGGGTCTGCAGTGGTTATCAGGGAAACCGACAAGACACACATTCTCATTTATTTCAGCTCTCGTCTCAAGGCAGCAAGGAAGAGGTGGGAAGAATCAGCTCTTTTGTCATTTATCTATTCTCAGTGGATCACAGTTGACGTCACACCTGCAAAACAAAAACAGGCATCTTGCAGCAGATTGGGAAAGGTTCTCACTTTACTGCAGGGTGAGGGGACTTGACGGGGACTGCACATCACCTGCCAGCGGCATGAATGCAGAACGAGCACACACAATTGAAAGAAAAAACCCTCTGTCATAATCCAAGGGGAGCCTTTGTTCAGAGAGACAATTCAGGCGTCAAAGAAATGATACAGGAACATTTTAAATGGCCAAGCACAGAAGCCAGTGAAATCCACTTTACTATGTTTTTTTGTTTGACTTTGCAGACGTAAGGAGGTAGGACCATAAAACTGGAAATGACTGATGGTTTAATTGTAAATTAACTTGGAATCTTGCAGTGAGTATGATTAATGGGTCATTCAACCAAACCATCAACTATTGAATTAATATTCCAGTAAATGTACAGTATCACATTATATGTTTTATCATATCAAGAAATGACAAACACTGCCTTTCAGGAGAACAAACCACCAACAGTTCATTACCCATCCATCTATCCATCTATTATCTATACCGCTTGTCCAGCACAGCTACTTCTTTTTCAAGATGCAAAAAAGTCATTAAAAAAAAGCAGATGAAAGCAGTCATTAGTAAATAAATAGCTATAGCTAGCATGTCTTGACTGAACCCTATTTGCTATAGCAGCCCATTGACGAGGTCACTAACCTGGCTTGTTACAGATTTCAACGCCAAATTGTTCTCAAGGCAAAACAGTGAGAGCCTCTTTGTGACTTATGTAGTCGTTCTCTGAGCCTGATTCACTAAAGATTGTGCAGCTTATCCACCCGCTAAAATCTGTGCAAATTAATCTAAAAGCGACATTGTCTAATCCGCACACCACACACATAGGGTTTTATGCGCTAGTAATAGTGGCACAGAGCAGACAGTATCTCTGTGGGCTTGTGCTTTTTGCATGTATTTGAATATATTCATTCTTTTGAGAAAAAAATGGCCCCTTTCTGTGCAAATTGGCCGTATTTAAAAACCTATTATTTTACACGCACTGACACTAACAGCCATGCGCAGTTAGAGTGTAAAAATGAGTCTGCACTATCGTATATAAAAGGGATGTCTCGTGCAAAATTTGAATTTAATGCACAACACTCACCTGGAAATTCACTCAGACCTCTTCTTAATTACAATTTCCGGGGGTCAAAAATTTTGAATTAAGAAACAAGAATACTCATCATGTTCTGCTCAGCACACAAAAGGACAATTTAGTGATAGTAATACTCAATGTTAGCAACTTAAAGATAACCTGTTAGCAAACAACTTCCATTTATCACACCATAAGTTTCCAACCCAAACACTCCATCTCTGACGCCTCCTTTTATTTCCTACTGCCTGCATCATCTGCGTTGTCCTCCATTGACTTTGTGAGCTGGATACACTAAACCATCCATTGTATGTTTTATCTGCACCCACTATGTTGGAGCTCACTATTTCCTGTGGGCTTATCGACTGCTTCCTCAAATCTACTCCCATGTGCTAATCTCTTCCCACCCGTACCTGTCTTAAAATATGCCAGCTCAGAGATCCTTTCATTGACTATTTTTTTGTAACACTGGAAAAACACAACATGTATTCACATTAAATAATTAATGAGTGTTTCGATATCTGCTGGTAGATAATGTATGTTGTGCGGTATATAGGCCGATTTTGGTGGGGTGACATACATAAACATAGAGTGAACAGCACATGAGTAGGATGAGTGCATCGATGGAGTACAGAGCTGAAAAGAGGGAGGAAAGGAAAGTCCAGGTTTGTCCTTGTAGCTGATAGAAAGTAACATCAATCAAACGCATTAGAATGCATCAGGGAAAGACAAAATGTGTGGCTCTTCTTAAAAAGTTGGTCGACGGAAGTCCAGCAAGGTAGAAAACCACAGTTTGCAGGATATATGTGACACTGTCTCTAAGGAGGAGGGGGAACTGTAGTAGTAGGGGTTGTAGATAATACTGAGGCCAGCCTGCCAGCCAGAGAAGATTTGTGAGGGAAACGTTGACAGGGATCTGATAATGATGTTAAATGGGCTTATAGGAAAAGCGATAAATAAATTGGAGAGCATTGGAGACATTCTTTATTCATATAGTGCAGAAAGATTTGGAGTTACTGATAGAAAGAGGGTGGAGAGAAGAATGCGTCATGTAGGTCTAGACGACAGAAAGAAATAGAGAAATGAATTAAGGAGAGGAGACAGTTAAGAGAGCAGTGCACCAACAACGACAGTAGACGGGAACATCTCTTCAAAGCGTGCAAGGACCAAGGAAGTGTACCGTGCTTGAGCAAGGATCGGAGCACTCACACTGGTCAAACAAACTGGACTTTAGGGGTGAGGCGTGCTTAGGCACGGTACGGATTGCCTAGTGTGAGTGCGCCCTAAGAAATCAGTTAGCAGTCCTCAGATGGGAAGAACATCTGAGGAGGTTGAGAAAGGAGAAGGAACAAGTCAGGGAAGCGTTTTATAAGGACATGTTAAAAAGGAATGTTCAACCCCAAGAAATGAGGGCAACTCATAGCTTCAAAGCAAGAGGTAGAAGAACATTTGAAAAAAGACTGGCTCAGATCCAGGGAAGAATAGAGAATTAGGCCTTCATAGAACTTTCAATTTGATAGAACTGATGATTCCCTGGGAGGACTCAGTGGAGGAAGAGTATGAAAGAAAAAGGCTTAGGTATGCAGATTTGACAGCAGAAGCTGATCAGTGAGGAAGGAGAGTTGGGGTTTGTCCAGGAGAAGTGGGATGTAGAGGGTTCATAGCTCGATCAACTCTCTCATTACTGGGAGAGCTGGGAATATGTGGACAAAGTTTGCAAAAAACAGGAAAGGAGATGTCCAGTCCAGTCAGTGGATTTGGATGAGAAGAAATAATGCCAGTTGGGGGCCAAAACAAAGGTACGAGAAATCTATTCATCATAACATACTTGAGTTCTTCTGGTAAAGATCTGTGCCCCGTAAATGATCCTGCAGGCCCAACATTTACCTTAGAAAACATTTGGACAAACTGTATTTTGATACTTTAGAGCACAGTCATTGAAAGGCTTTTAAACAATGGATATAGTAACAAACAAAAGCATAATCCTAATGATTGTATAGTTTTTACACTCTCCCTCGTTGATAAGAAACACAGCCCTTTGTGTTGTGTCTCTCCTCCTACCACTCATCTTTGATGTGTGAATGACCCTCAATGTCATTATAAAAGGCTGAGGTAAAATTGTCCCACAGTGATCTAATGAACTCTGCTTTGAGAGGCATCTTTGAATACCAAAACATGTACTGAATGCCCAGCACTTCAAGTCAAAACCCCTTCACAATTGAAGTGGGATACTGATTAAGGCATTAGTAGGGTCTAAAAATACCATATGTAGATCTTAGCTCTCCAGATTTGCCAAGTTTCAAGTGATTCTCCATGCTTCTTAAGAAAGAGATGAACTGTCCGCCATAGCGATGTAAATCTTTGTTTTCATAGATTGCAAACAAATACTTAAAAATGAAGCATGGCAGATTTAATTAATGGAATTCTCTGCAGCTTTATACCTAAATGTAGGAGTTGACTTTAAAGTTTTCCCCCTCAATTTTTTTTTTTTTTTTTTTACATTTCCAGGTGGGTTAAGTAGTCACATAAGCACATTACTTTGGAATACGACCACCAAGTAAGCTAACAACATCAAAATGTACTATGTGTGTCCATGCACACTTAGTAATATGACCATTTATCAGCATGTTGGGAAGAAATAGTCCTGCCAGAAGAATCCATTGAATCTTTTATATGAAACATTTCCTCAAAGATGTGATCCTCCACTGTTCTCTGTGTGTGGGGGGGTGAGGTGAAGATTCCTGCCTGCTCCTTTGGGGATATTTTGTATTCCCATGAGACTCAGTACGAATCCTCATGACATTTCTCCTTTCTGCTTCTCTTCATGCTCGTATTTATTTCATAGTGTGTCACCTCACCGTGCACATGTGTTTTGCGTGATTACATTTTTTTTCGCTCCCTGCAGTCTCGGTGTATAGAGACAGGGGGATGTATGAGATTTGAAAAACTTGGAAGCTCTGCAGTGCTGCATCAGTTTGCTGGCGTTCGAGTATTTCACTCAAATTGGTGCACCCACACTGTTGACAGACACAAAATCATGAAATCCCTCTCAGTCCTTCAAGCCAAATTAGTATCTTCTTTCATTCCAGGATGCAGATGTCTCTGAGTGAAATACCTGTGGAAAATCGTCATGATTGGGTTCATTATCTCGCCTATAGTTAGCAAAGAGGGAATTGAGTCTGGTATTTTGGACTTAAAAAAATAAAATCAGCTTG